CCTACTCCTAACATTTCCTTGCACTGCTTCTGACCTCTTTTCTTTCTAAAGGCCAAATAGGAAGACTATCAGACTATCATTCCCCCAAGAAACAACAGATACTCTTTACCCATCAGTACTTGGCACTCCCTGCAATACACTGCATCTTATGTGGGTGAGCTAGTGGAGGCAGGCCGACCAGCCTCCAAGGACAGAGCCTGTAGTAGCCTTCCCTTATCCGCAGGGCGCACGGCACAAGCCCCCCAGTGGATGCCTGAAACCAAGGACAGTACCGAACTCTACATACACTATGGCTTTTTCCCTATACATACGTACCCTTTCACTTAAAGGAAGCACTCGACAGCTTCTCTTTGGCATTACCAAATTGCCAGCATCACTACTCTCCTGCTTCGAGGCCATTATTTTAAGTAAAATAAGGGTGACCTGAACACAAGCACTGCCATATCCCAAGGGCCGATCTGATAACCAATAAGGGTACTAAGTGACTAACGCAGGAGCAAGCACAGCATGGAGATGCTGACAAAAGGATGATTCACAACCCAGGTGGGACGACGCCAGACAGCGTAAGATCACACTCCACAGACGACACACAATGTAAAACCTATGAATTGTTTATTTCTAGAATTTTCCATGTCATATTTTCAGACCACAGTTGACCATAGGTCACTGATACCATGGAAAGCGGAACTGGAAGGCTACTGTATAAAATCAGCAGCTGGGTAAAGTATCCCCCTCCCAGCTCCTCTGATTACTACCTACCCTCTTGAGAAGTTACAGCTCCTTCCCCTTCCTGGTCCGTCTGCCCCAGAATCCCAGGTCTGCAGCAAAATGTACAGAAACCTGGTGAACACCGGAGTTCCCAATCCAGAGGGGAACAGTCACGCTGTGTGCGCGCGTGCAGATCTTCAGCACTGCTGACAGGCATGGGGAGCAAGCACTAACATGGAAACCTCCCCTTCCCACTGGAGGCAGGTGACACACAGAGGCATACAACCATGGCATCACAGGAGATCACCCAGAGACCTTGGCAACAAGAATACTAACTCAGTAGCTTTATCTCATTAATACATGGTTTTGTGTCTTCGACAATGCCTAGTCATTATGGATGCGCACTCGAATGCTGAGCAAAAAATTAACAAGGGTTTGTTTCAATTATATAAACAAGTAGTGAACACCTGTATCTCAACACTAGTTCTAGTATGACCCTATTAAAATAAATTTAGCAATATTTAAAGTAACGCAATGAGAAACTAAATCCAAGACAAAGTTTTTAAAGTCATTTCCTTGGAAACTTAAGTAAAAGATTAGGTTTATTAGACTAATCAAGTAGGGTAAATAGGCATTATATTTACTGATTATTTAATTATTATTAAATAATTAAATTGTAATTTATTTATAATTATAAACTATCATTAAATAATTAAAGTAATAATTATTATTACTTACATTATTTAAGAACTTTAATTTCTTAACTATGCATGAGATTCTGTCTCTCAATTCCAATGTTAAGAGTGATCTCTCTTCAATAAATGAAAATACATTTTCTAAGAGCTTTAAACTCATCCTTACACATTTTAAACTTACGTTTACACCTTAAATCCATGAGACTCTTGCCAATGAACATTTAATTTGCTCCAAGTAAAAAACGGAAATAGTGATTTACTAAATTACCAACATTGATTTTTTTAAAACCCAAACACTTTTAATCCAACAAAACTGAGGGATAAAAGGGAGAAGCATGTTCACTTTTCAAATGAAAATCTCACAATACGTACTTCTCGCATCAAATTCATCAGTAGGACTCCCACCCACTGGCACTGAAAAGCTGTGATCCCACAAGCAAGAGCCATACCCGTGTGCATGCACTCATGTGAAAATATCACACACACTAAATTGCACTGAGGCCGTGAAACATGCAACTTAGTAATGTGCAATATCTCCACCAGAGCAAGCAGAATGGGAGCATCAGGGAAGAAGGGTGCGGTGCAAACATTCAGGACACAACATGCTCTGAGGGGAGGAAAATGGTTTGGGGATGAAGGATGCATGCCACTGACTCAAAAGTTCATGAAATGACAACCCGACTGCAGACGTATTTATTTTAGAATACTTATTCCGACTTGCAAAAACAATTAAGTTTCAAAAATTCAATGAGACAGTGATTAAAATATAGCCATGTATTTCAAAAGGCGAAGTTTGAAGAACAAAGACATTTTCACTGTCTGGTCATGCAGAGAACTCCCAATTTTAATTCCACTTTTAAATTTATTAATGGACCATATAAAATGAGTTTAATGACTGGTTTAACTGCAACATCAATAATGACTAAAGATTGATGCTTATTGATATTATTAGTAATTTGCAAACCAAACTACATACCCAGAACACTATAATATTTTCATAATCATTTGTATAATATTTTTTCCTCTTACAATGTTCCTCCTCCATGAAGAAATATATTCCATCTTGAACACAATCCTTCAGAATGAAAAGTCTGACAAGAGCTCTTAGGAACTAGAACCCACTGCTCTCACACATGTGAGAAGGTTCTTCAGAGGCATCTATATTAAACCCTATACACTTTTAGTTAAGTCTTGAATTTGACCCAGTAAAGACAAAAATAGACCAAAAGTACTCAGACTGCTTAAAATCATCCTCAATTACAAGCTTTAATTTATATGACTTGATATAGCTGTGGTTAGAAAAGTGGCCCAGGCTATATAACAAGTTCTCTAGTCCGTACCATTATTTTCAGACTCATAAAAACCTATCAGTTTTGAGAACCATTAGGATTTTAGTTCTGGTCCTAAGGATTTTTAAAAATTTTTCCCTGCATTAAAAGTAAGATGATAAAATAAATGTGTTTTGTACAAGCACACTCTGGAACCAAGACAAGAACCTGTTAAGAGTGCATGATTAGTGTGTGCAAAAGACACTCATTTCCTAGTATCTCTGTAGGTGACCACACTCTCCTAATCTCAAATTCCCTCCTGAGCCAAAGACCTGAATTTTTGTCTGTCAGCATCATGTGTCCACTGACTTGTCTTAACAGAACCACAAATTTAACTCATGATCTTCTCCCCCAACCAGCTGGCTCTCGCTGGAAGGCGTCGTGGTGTACCAGAAGGGTAATGGGCTTCCAATCAGCTGCACCGAGGTGACGACCACAGCTCTGCTCACCCGTTCCAAGCAACCATGACATTAAAGAATTAGGTTTAAAACAAAAGGTAACTTGGTTTTCATACCAAACATGCCATAGAAAAAGAGGTGATTGAATGACCAACATTCAAAGAGTGGTCAGCAACTGGTTCACTCTAAGAGCACAGAACAAGAGAAAATTCAAAAACTGAGATGAAGGTAGAAAACCTTTTGTGAGAGTAAAAGTCAGTGCCAATAGAGAATACTTTAGGAAAATAAAGTATAATCTTTTTTGAAGTTCTTTATGGATAAGGTAGGCAGTTTTCTGTAAAGCTTGGCTTAAGTCACACTGACTAGAGGATTCTGCCAGGCTGTGAGATGGTTGATTCAACAGCTTTATTTTATGGGAAGATAGGTTAATTTCCTTTGTGGTAATTTTTTTTGAGTCAGATAGACTTCACTTGGATAAATTAAAGTTACTCTATTGCTGGAGTTTTCATCATTCATTTACTCAGTCAAGATGATAATTAAGTCATATAGGCTTAAAAGACATGTTAAAACCAGTAAGTTCTTTGTGAAGAATAGCTTCACCCTGAAAGCTCACAAACTTGGAATATTTACATGGATGGCCCCACATGGATACCCAAGGGCACCAGAGTGGATAAGAACTTTTTTTAAAATTCAAAATTAAAAAAACCAATAGAGATACCTAAAAACTTTGCATGGCCAGTCTAATCGAGGAAGCAAGATACTGGTAAGACTTTACCCAGGCTTTCCTATTAGGAAAACATGAGAAAAACTACCAAAGTTTCCAGAGAGAAGAGATTTCAGCTGCATTCACCCTCTTTGAATGTAAGAGGGCTTTCCAAAGATCAAAGGGGTATCCTCACCAGCTGTTCCATGAGTACAGTGAAAAAATAAGCCAAGCTCAATCAGACAGGATTATCACATCAAACTAAGATTTCTGCAGAAGACTGGTTCCAAACAATAGTAATTTTTACAAATACGTGGAAAAAGAAATGCCAGCCAAAGATTCCCTATTCAAGAGAGATTTGCAATCAACTGGCTAACAATTAATTAGAAAAAGGAGCTCTAACGGATAAGATGAGAATTTACCATGAGTAGCAGCTATTCATAAAAAGTAAAAATGTACTGAAGTGCTCATGGTAAATTCAGAGTGATGAGACAAGGGTGGGCCTTCAATAGGCCTCTCCCTCCTGGAAATGAGGAGGAGGAAAAAGAACAGGGGGGCAGGAGCCTGTGACATGGAAAGGCCAGAGGAAGAATAAACGTTGAAGAATCATCTCATTCAGAAACCAAGCCTGCAATACCTGGTCCCAGAAGACAGGATGGAAATTTCTGGCCAGAATCTGCAACACACACAGAGCCTATGAGATACCTAAGAGATACCTAAAAACTTTGCATGGCCAGTACCGCACCGAGCCCTGCAGAGGGAGAGAGGAAAAAAGAGGGAGGCCACCTGAGCAGAGCTGGAACTCCTGAGGACAAAAGGAGGGTTCGGAGAGAAGGTGAGGGGTGTGTGTGTGAGAAGGGGGCTTCCTGAGCACCTGACATAATGATTAGCAGCTGGAGCAAGAGCCTGTGGAAGAAAACAGATGGGGACAGGCCATGAAATCTTTGTAAACCACAGGCTTGGGAATAGGATTCGAAGCTGTTTTGAAATTTTTTCTTACCAACATTTGTACTGCTCACATTATTCGCTCAAAAGGAGATAAAAAATTTTGAAGATGCCAGTTCCCTTGCTAGTTTAACACTGAAAGTTACTAGGAAGGCTCAAGACAGAAAACAGGCTTCTCATGGAGAAGTTTCTGAAGGAAGAACAGCATAAATCGTGTCCCTACCTGATAGCTTCTTCCACAGACTGGCCAATAATATTAGAGGAAGGACCTGGCTGAGAGAGTGGTGTCAGGCTTATCACCCACTTCACTGGCTTGTAGTACTCATCACTGGAACTTAACAGATAAAATAGTGTGGTCAGGAAAATTATCTGCAAAACAAAGGACAGCATCTCCTAAAAAATCACATTTGGAAATGACAGGAAGGAAACACAAATGGAACCAAGACACTGCTTTCCTGTGGAAGGAAATGTGATGTGCCCACATCTCTGCATACCTACCAGAGACAGCACGAAATTGAGGAGGGCCGTCCCACTGTAGAAGAGGATGGTCAGGAGCGTAGTGACAGTGGTGAAAAGCAGGCTCACGTTCCGGCTCATAACAATCCACAGAGACTCTAAGATCTAAGAGGGGAAAAGCTGAATATCAGAACTAATCCTCAGGAAATAAGTTTCTACAGGTATCTAGTGTGGGGTTGTTTTTTTTTCAGTTTTTTAAAAATGTACTGATTTGACAGAGAGAAAGGAGGGTGGGGAGAGAGAGAGAGAGAGAAATCAACTTGTTGTTCCACTTAGTGATGCATTCGTTGGTATTTTGTTGGTTGAGTTTTGTATGTGCCTTGACTGGGGAGCAAACCTGCAACCTTGGCATATTGGGATGACGTTCTCGCCAACTAAGCTACACAGCTAGGGCTCTAGTGTGCTTTTAATATGGTGGCATAAACGGAAAAGACAAGAACTGAGTATTATTTTAAATGAAAAAATCATCTGAGATTATTTGAATATTGATTAGTAAAGAAAGGGATTAAATTATGGTGAAGCTACTCCAAATATTAGGCAGCCATTAAAACCATTTCTATTATAGCATAGGAAAGTATTTTATGATATAATGCTAAGTTTAAAAGACAGGATAGGAAAACTTTATATAGAGCATGGTTATGACTATGTAAAAATGATACCACAGAAAAAATGCCTATAGGAGAGTTATGTCAAAATGCAACCTGTGGTTATACCTAGCTTGTAGGCTCAGAAGTGTGCTCATGAAAATCTAGCATTTGCCTTATTAGCTTCTTCCCACCTTGCCACCTTCAACTTAGCTTCATCTACAACTACCAAAGCATCTTGACTAAAATCACAATAAAAAAATGAACAAGTAGGATCAAGGGCAGAGCTCTGCAGCTGAAGGTCATTCCTCACATAGACAATGACCCTTATATTAAGACCTCCTGAGTTCAACTGATCTATTATCTTCAAATTTACTACAACCAGGTATTAAAATAAAGGTTACTAATATTATGTTAGATATTACTAAAGGAAGATGTACAATATTTATAGCAACCTACATGTTTCCATTTCTTATTTTTTCATGAATTTCCTTATGATAATGTCTGTTCTATTCTGCCCAAGTAATAAAAAACAATGTTGGAAGCAAAATGATCAGAAAAGCACTTTCCCTTAGTTTTCAAAATACTCCCATAAACATCACAACACTGTAAGAGAAGAAATGCAGATGATATCTTTATTTTATAGTTACGCAAACTGAAGCTCAGTCTTAAAAACTTGCCCAAGGGCAGGGAGCTAATATGTGGAACTAGAGCCAGAACCAGAACTCCTAACGTCTAATTTTATTTTGGTGCCCTTTCCAAAACTGCAGTTCTGTGTTTTATCATATGTTCAAGTTACACCATCTGTGCTATGAAAGGCCTATCCATTCCTCTCCTACCTCAAATGTACCATTTATAAAGGCACATTTTGTTGTCTTCGGCATTTCTTGCAAACCTCAGCTCAGTCTTCATAAAAGAATTCTGGCAGACTGGTTTCATTTACAAAAACTTCTTACATAAAATCTTGAAAATGTTTCACAATGCCTACAAAAATATGCATGATTGACTGTTTGACCCTGTGGGGTAAAGGAATGAATGAATAATGGCACTGACTCCACCAAGCAAACCAACAATACCCTCACTTGTGATTTTGACAAGCATTCTTTTGGGAGCCTCAGTCATTTTGGAATTTTTATCAAAAAGAGTTTGAATAGTTTCTGGGTCACACTGATAGGAAATGCCCTGTGGTAATTCTTAAGAAATTAACTGATTTCATTAATTGGAGGCTGGTAATTGCCAAGATCAAGTAACCTTTCTGTGTATTCAACAGAATCAGGAAGGAAGGTTTAAATATATAAGACAAAGCTGTTGGGCATTACTAGTATATAATCTCATTAACATTGGTTAATGAATTCAATAAATAAATTAAAAATAAAATTTTTAAAAAATTGTCAGCTGTTTTCAGAGAACAAGACTGAAGTGGAGAAGTACAGAGTTGGGCATTGCTTTTTTTTTTTTTTTTATTTAAAATCTTAAAGCATTTTTGACTTTTCAGCTATGGTCATCTATTATTTTGATAAAAATTAAACTGAAAAAAACTAGCACCCGCAAACTCTGACTTTTGTTAACTTGATGAAAGCAGCCTTCTCTGCAGCAGTCCAGCTGGGGACATTCCAGCCAACCCATGCGGATGAGGATACCTGTCTCAGAACTAGCATCTCATGATTGCTCTTCTGCCACAAAGGAAGCGTCAGGGCAGCTGCACCTGAGGCCTACGGCTTTTGGACATCTTTCTAGTTCATTTAAAATTTTCAAAACTGCAAATGTTGCCCTAGCCAGGTGGCTGAGTTGGTTGGGGCGTCCTCCTGTACACCAAAGGGTTGGAGGTTCGATTCCCAGCCAGGGCACATAACTAGGTTGCAGGTTCAATCCCCAGTCAGGGCACATACACAGGAGGCAACTGATTGAGGTTTCTCACACTGATGTTTCTGTTTCTCTTTTCTCTACCTCTCTCTCCACTCTTTCCTCTCTCTCTCTCTCTCTCAAATCAATAAAAACATATCCTCAAGTGAGGACTGAAATAAATAAATAAAACTGCAAATGTGGCATTGAAAACAGGGTATGGTAACTAAAGACCTTTAAATGTGTACACAAAACTTGAAATTAGAGTTTCTGTTTTTACTTCTAAGTCCAGTTTAACTATAAATACTATTTCTTACAGAAAGAAATGTCTCAATGTTCTCGTGGACGAAGGAAGCAACATCCTGCCAGTCCAGAATGTCTCCCAGCCAGCTATTCTGACGACTTATGTGCATCTTGTGTCCTTTGTGTCTTCCAGAATGCGTTACGTTCTATGGAATAAAACAGTTCACACATGAAATCGCCATCTTAACCTAAAGAACAGAAAGTATAAATAACCTATTTTGTTTTAGGTCTACTTGAGCACTTTAGTAAATACACAAAAGTGAAAAACTTTGCTTTCTTTAAGAAATCAATTAAGGACTCCACCTAAAGACCTAAAAGATAATATTTTTCCGTTTACATACTAGTTACTGTATCTCAGCCTAGCTTAAGTGCTTCCCTCCTAAGTACATTTTGAATACACTTTATTCCTGTGTATTCAACTGTACACATCTACAGCATTTATTTTCACTTCTTCCCCTCCTTTTTAGCCCCTCTACCTTTTTCTTAGTCTCTCATTTTTGCTTTTTTCCTTCTTTCCTCATCTCCCTTATTAGTCTCTCACAAAAGATAAAGAGAGCAAGGGGGAGAGAGAGAAGAATATAAAGAAGTTCACCTAAAACTAATATAATGTTATCTATCAATTCTATCTCAATAAAACAGGGGGAAAAGAATATAAAAAAGAAACAAGGGGGATCTACCTTGTCTATCTGGAAGAGAATTACATTGGCAGGAATGCAGGAATAACTAGATTTGAAAGAGACATGAATAAATGATTTTACCTGTTCACTTTTGTTTTTTTAATAGAGCCACTAGGAAAATCACCATCCCTTGGCTTGCATTACATTTCCCCTGCACAGAGCTACTCCAGATGAGGGGCTGCTGACAATGACCAGAAGACAGAAGACTGATACACCAGAGGGACCGGTGGGTTCCCCCATGGAGATTAACCATCGACTCACTCTGACTTTTAGTGACCTAAGGTTGAAGACCTTGCAGCTTAGAAATTTCAACAAATGAAACCCCAGTATTAATACAATCCTATTTAGTCATTGGGCCTAGAATATAAAAGCTTTGTTAGTTTACAATTGAAATTCTTAGCTAAAATAACTTACCTTTACAAACCACGAATGATACAATCTGTCCCAGAGTTCTAGTACTTGCTTTTCGATCACAGCAGTATTGTTCACCTTATCACCGAGAATTTTATGAAGCTGGAAGAAATACACATAGATATAATCTGGTTTAATATTTGAGGCAATAATAAAGTAAAATGAATACACTCTGGGTCTTTGCATTTGTTCCAAATCAAACTGAAATGTTCCAGACTATTTAATTGCCTCTAGCCACGTTATGTTCTTTTCATAAACTTTGCTGCTCAGTATTCCCAGTAAATTTCCCCTCTCTCATCTTTTACTTTTTCTTTCCTCTATCATTAGGTCTCTAGGAGAGCTACTTTCAGGCTGTAAAAAAAAAACGGTACAAATAAAGCCATGATTATGGACTTCTCTTATTATACCTGCCCAGAAAAAAATCTTTCCATAAGACCCCAGTGCCCACCGATTATACAGAAGTCTTGTGTTACACTTATCACTATTATTAAAAATGGCCACAAAACTTTAAGTGACATTTTAGAACCTTAGCTCTAAATGCAAATATTCTCCTTAGTTTGCTGAGAGATGTCAGTTCTCAGAGTTATGACTGATCAGCCTAGCTTCAAGATGTATGGGAATCAAGTACACTTGAGACAACTTAAAGAAAGGTTATTCATTATAATATCTTATTCCACATTGTATATGTTATTAAAACAATATGGTAACATTAAAGACACTTTTTAAAGGACAAACACTGATTTGTAGTTCCACTTTCCTTATAAAACTGGCAATTTCTTCATTTTCTGTACAACTTTCTGCCTGTTTATATAGACATAATTTAGATTTCTGTATTTTCTTTTACATCATAAGCATTTCATATTTTGCCGTCAAGACTAACCTTTACCTTTACTTTTAATGGTTTCATGAGTTCATTAAGTTTTGATATTTAATCATTACTGAATCACAGGATATATATATAGATGGTTCCCAATTTTTAATGTCACAAGTAACACTGCAATGAACATCCTAATACACAGTATTTTTCTTATTTCTAATAGCAAGATAAATATGCAAGAATAAAAGGAAATGAACCATTTTTAATGGTTCTTGCAATGCATTGTTAAGCAGTCTTCTATAACAACTGTATCAATTAATACTTTCCAACACTGTAAAAATAAACCAATTCTCCCAAAGCCTTATGGATAACTGATAAATTTTTAGATAACTGAATTGGTGTGAAATGATAATTAGTTATTTATACTTTTCTTCTTTAGTGATGAGAGTGGCCACTTTGCATCTTGGTTTTCAATGTGTACTTTCTCTTTGTGCGGCCTTTCACCCACTTGATGCTGGCCTTACAGATACTCAAGCCAGTTCTCAGACATGTTTGATGGAAATGTATCTACCCAATGTTATCCTCTATATGTATGTGATTTATTCATAAACTAAACACAAGTAGGTGAATATCAAAGCCATTTATCTTTCATTACATTTTACAATTTACAAATGGCTTCTACCTACATCATGTAATCTTTACAACAACTCTAAGTTAGACAGGAAATAGTTTTGTCACCACTTTTGTTCTTTTGAGAAAAGAGATTTAGAAAGGATCTATGATAGGCCCAGGGCTATGCAGCCAAATGATAGTCAGAATTACAGGTTCTCTGATGTTCTTTCAACAAGGCCTACATAACCTACGAACAAAGAACACCTAGTAGAGCAAATCAGCCCATATAATTACAAAACACAATTACCACTAAATTCCTTTAGTTTCTTTAAATTTTTATTTCATATATTATGACTGTCAGATACTCACAGACTCCCTGTTACCAATTCTTTCTGTCATTTTCCTATCATCTCCTGACATCTCCCTTTAACCAGAAGAGGCCCAAAACGGGTACTGACAGCCTCCTTTCCAGACTGCCTTCACGGGGGCCCTTACTGCAATAAAGACCATTTCAAACTCACATCTCCTTTTGCAGTCTCACTCTAGCACAACAGCGAACAACTAAAACACAACAGCTGGAACAGTAAAGGAAAGTTCAGCATAATTTTACAGCATGTTATAGAACACTCTTCTCTACACAGTGGTGCTATCAACATTAGAGCACATTACAGACCTAGAATGCTGTCCTGCAACGTTCCAACCCATATTTGCAAGCTGCAAGAAGAATGGGCCAGAGAGCAGCGTCTAATGAACGCATCACTGCCATCCAACGAATCACTAAAGCATACATACTGTTGGTGAGGCGTGACGTGCTCTTTACATACGAAAAACAATAAAGCATTAAGGGCAGTCACAATGCCATTTGAGAACGAACGGACTTAAGGTGAATAACCTCATCTCTACAAAACGGGGATGACAAGTCAGCACTCATCTCGTGTGAAGTCTCCGCAGCCTTTGCCAGAGCTGACCAAGTCTTTCCTGAAACCTTCTCTGGGCCTCTGGGACACACACAGCTGGGTTTTCCTCCTGCCTCACAGGCCACACCCCCTCAGTCTTCCTTGCCCTTGAGAACCTGAAGTGCTGCGGGACGATCCCTGATCCTCTTCTATCTGCACTCCCTCCTTTGGTCATTATTATAGGCTGAATTGTGCCCTGCCCCCAACATTCGTAGGCTGAAGTCCTAACTCCCAGCATCTCAGAATGTGACTATTTTGACAGGGTCTTTAATGCAGTAAATGAGGTAAAATAACGTCATTAGGGTGGGCCCTCATCCAGTCCTTATTAAAGGAAGAAAAAATTTACAACACAGACAGACTCAGACGGAAGATGATGTGAAGAAGACTCGGGACATCTATAAGCCAGGCCAAGAGGCCTCAGAAGAAACCAGTCCTGATGTCACCCTGATGGTGAACTTTTAGCCTCTACAATTATGAGGAAATAAAGTTCTGTTGTGATAGCCATCCAGTCCGTGGTACTTTGTTATGGCAGCCCTAGCAAACTAATACAGGCCATCTCATCCAATCCTATGAGTTCTATCTGATGACACTCAAACCTCCATCTACAGCCAGATATTTCTTCTGGGCTCCAGCTATGTATGTCCAACTGCCTTTTGTGATGTCTCTACTTAGCCACCTAGTAGGTATCTCGAATTCAGTATGCCTCCAGCAGAATTACTGGTCTATCTGTGGCACCCCACTACCACCTCCAAGTTCTTCCATCTCAGTAAGTGGCACAGCTACCCTCGGTCGGCAAACCAAAATCTTCCTTCCCTTTCACTCCATTCCAATCCATGAGTAATTCCTCATGGATTTTTGAGGTCATAACCACCTCAAAAATATCCCAAACGACCATTTATCTCAATCTCCACTGCCACACTCCTCGTCCAAGTCACCAACATCTCAGCTAGATTGCTGAAATAACAGGCTTTTAACTGGTCTCCCTGGCCTTCTCCATCCCTGCCCCCTTCTCTATAAAGCAGCCAACATGAGTTGTCAATATCCTAAATCACGTTTCCGTTTTAAGTCCATATAATGTTTACCTTTGTAACTAAAAGAAAATCCCAACTTTTTAATACGACCTATGTCTTGTCACACATCACATTCATTATTCCAGCTACACTGGCCTTCCTTTTCCCCTCAACCAAGCTTGTTCCCATCTCAGACACTTTGAATTTGCTATCCATCAGCCTGAAACATTATATTTCCAGACCTTCACAAACTGTCACCTTCTCATCACTTAAGTCTTAGTGAAACATCACCTGAGAGACACCCTCTGGCCATCCTCACTAACACATCACCCAAGTCATCCTCTACCACATTACCCTGTTTACCTTGATCACAGCACTTTTAGATCTGATTTTTTAATTTGTTTACATGTTTAAGCTTTGTTTCCTCTCCCTAGAGTGTAAGCGCCAGGAGAGTGGTAACTTTCTGGTTACTGCGTTTTTCCCTAGCACTGGACCAGTGCCTAGCAGGTTTGTGAACTAGCTGTCACTAGTGGAAGAAGGGACAGAACAACTACGTTACTTAATCTCTTGCAGCACCTTCAGGTACAATTATATTTTAGAATGGGCACACCGAGCAGAAAGGATAGCTCAGACAAGGATAGTGAGTAAAGAAAGTAAATCTGATGTTGAGAAAATAGCAACCTGCGAGTAGAAACCAAACAGTGCATAGGGAACATATGACACAAGGCTGACTAAGCCAGCTGGGGACAGAGAGACAGGAACCTTTTCTATTCAAACCTAAGCACCCCCTAAAAAACTCTTTTCCTTTTCTGAGAGTGGCGTTTCTTTCTAGCTTCAGCCCTTAGGACTCCATTCTAACATGATTCTTAACTATATAAGTTCTGAGCTTATTAGAAAGCTACCTCTGCAATTACAATGGGTCTTCTTTTTTAAACAACTTTATTGAGTTATAATTCACACACCTTACAATTTACTCAGTACAGTGTACAAGTCAATAGTTTTTTTAGTATATTCAGAGTTATGCAACCATTACCACAATCTGGGAACATTTTCATCACCCAAAAAGAAAACTCCATACTCATTAGCAATCACTCCCCCATTTCTCGCCAAACTCTTCTGCTTCCAGAAACCACTACTCCACTTTCTATAGATATGTCTCTTCTGTGCATTTCCTATAAATGGAATCACACATATGTTGTCTTTTATGACTGCTTCTTTTTCTCAGCATAATGTTTTCAAGGTCCATCCATGTTATAGATTGAATCAGTACTGTTATTCCTTTTTATGGACAAATTGTGTGGATATACCACATTTTATTTATCCATTCATCAGCTGATGGACATTCAATGGCTGCTTTTAGATATTATCCCTGTGTCTTCTAAGTCAGGATCACTTATACTTTTTTCACAATTTTTGTTAGCAATGCCCATCACTTTTTAACTACCTTAGCTTTTAGAATCTTGAGCAAAGGTTTCAAACTTATCTTTTCTCAAAGTAATTTTAAATTTACTTCTTGAAAATCTAAGTCACAATTCAGCTACTCAAATTCCTTTTCTTTACCCTTTTCCCATATAATTAAGAATTCCAGAATGAAGATCTCCCCCAAACTGGTAAATTAAGAACTAAACACTTTCAACCTATTAACTCAGCCAAAATATTTCTGGAAGACTCAAAGCCTTCTGCAATGGCCAGATCTTCCTTCTGCAACAGTTCTAAGATCTATATCCATATAACTTATCTTTCTGTTTTCAATAAATGTTTCTTAAAGACTTCTATGTGCTGATTGATTAGATTATCTGTTACAGGCTCAAGAAAATCAATACATACATTTCTCTTAACCTGATCATAATTCCACCCTTAAATCAGTGGATTACTACATACAAGTATACATTATAATTTTGAAGATAACTTTTCTTTTCTGAGATTTTGTTTTGACTTTTGAACACAGATTCACATACTAATCCTTTTTTTCTGGGCACATGTCCCACTCCAATCAATTTTGTCTCTAAATAATCCTAATTACTTCAATATGTTAAAACTTCATGTATCTTCATTCCCATTCACTATACGACGGGGAAAGGAAGAATATCTCAAATCCATATCATGGGATCTGATCTTTAACTACAACAATGGTGTCTTCTTTCATGTCTCCTTCACAAAGCTTCAGTCAAGTTCATCTCCTCAAGCACTCTCACTTCTACATCTTGGCTTACATAAATACCTCTTCTTAAAATACACTCTTCCTTCTCTTTATTCATCTAAGACATATCATTCCCTCAAGGTTTATCTCAACTGCCATTTTAGAGCACTTAACTCTCAGTTCCAGGCACAATTTCTAGCATGCTACAGTAGAAAGAGCAAGAGATTTGGAGTCAGTCTTCAGTTTGAAACGAAGCTCTGCAATTTACTACCTCACCACTGGAAATTTACCTGGCCTTACTGAGTTGGTTTCTTCATCTGTAAGTAAGCAAAGTAATTCAGACTACTGCAGCTTTCTTGAAAAGAAAACAAACCGGAAACTGCAAAGCACAGTTACCAGCAGGTAATAAAATTTACATGCCCCAGTACTCCCCTCACCAAAGCCTCATTTGACCACCAAGCTTAGTGATCATTCCTTCCTATTGCACAAATAGCGAATCATATCTATCTTGAACAAGAGGCAATTGGCTGACTTCTAAGCTTGTTCAGGCTACTAACACTATTCAGTATTACCACCCAGGTTTAATTTCATATGTCGCTTGTTGACTTGTAGATATATTTTAAAATGAAAATTATTCTAAACATAATCTCCATTTATGTTTTATCAAAGGAAGAAATCACCACCAGTAAAGACCTTGCAAAGAGAAAGCCACAAAGAGGCTCTTCCCTTACCTTGTGGGTTATCCATTCTCGTCCATACTGATACACATTGTTAGCGGCAGAATTGAGGGCTCTTTGGACCACCTGAGCCTCAGGAAGCCAACTAATTTAAAATAAAGAAAAAAAAATGAAAAATTACTACACTTTTAGTGTACTGCACCAATACCTATTTGAACTCAATGCATTTAAATAATCAGTAACTGACAAACTGCTGATAAGTCATTAACACAGAGATACAAATGAATCACACACAGGAATCCTTGACTTCTAGGCCTAACTGGACTCATTCTAATATATGGGATGTCTCGTCAAGCTTTCCTTATCTTTTAGATCCACTGTCCCCCACAGCCTCTCAGTCATTCTGCTTTGCCGGTTGTTCTGTCCCTCAAGTCCTGAGCCATCTGCCTTATTCAAACAGCACCAGAGAAAGTGGTTCTGAAATACTTATGGTCAGCATCTGGGATGCACAATGGTGGTTCTCAAACTGTGGTCCATGGACCTGAGACATCAGAACTGCTTAGAAACCTGGCCCTAACCCAGACGTACTGAAAAAGTAACTCTGGGGCTAGAGTCTAGCAATCTGCACCTAACAAGCCCTGAAGCTGATTCTGGCGCACACTAACATTTGAGAACCACGGATCTAAGGAACTGAAGAACAGAGAAAGACTTTGAAAAAATTAAGAGGGTAAAGCACTGTTTTCAATTTTCCATTTATTGAAGATATTTTTCTTTAAGATGTGAGGAACTCCTCAGTACAGTCTATACACAGAACTGCAGTCTACAAACTTTACTCCTTGTGTGGCGGTGAGAGGTAGCCTCCCCACTCCCTTGTCAACTAAACAGGCTCTTCCCTTAATCAATAATAGATGAAATATGCCCTGTGTTTTCCAAAAGAGAAAATATTTTCATATATTCTCACTCTCTTCTTTTTAAAGATTTTATGTATTTTTAGAGAGAAGGAAAGAAAGAGAGAGAAACACTGATGTGTAGAACACCGATCTGTTGCCTCTTGCTCACCCCCACCTGGGGACCTGGCCCACAACCCAGGCACGTGCCCTTACCAAAAATCAAACCCACAATCTTTCGGTTTGCAGGCTGGCACTCAACTCACTGAGCCACACCAGCCAGGGCCACATATTCTCTTAATTGCTATTCACACTGTTGTATGCTAGAGATGTTGACATTTCACACATTGCTGTGGATCTTTAATATTAACCAGTTCATCATACACTCCACATTAACAAAATATTTAAGAAGCTTTTTGCAAATTCTCAGTCAGTTCAGGTACTTCTCAGCAAGTAAGACAAAAGTTTAAAGAGACTTATAAATGTAATAAGCTTACAGTACAAGGATATGAACAGGGATCTGGATCTCTAAATAGAGATGTGATTTGGGAGAAATTAATTTAAGTAGCTTTTAAATTACTCTAGTATTTATAGATTCAACAGTGGTTTGAAGGCACTGCTAAATATTTTCAATTATATGGTACTACATTTCTATGGGGAAAATTATATCCTGTAGTGATATTCAGAAGTGTGAGGATTTGCAGAGGCATCTGGATAGATCCTTAATGACTAACAAACATCTATTAGGCCTGATAAAAGTCTTGCTGGCTTAAGGGAAAATGCTTCACCAATGTACTCATGCAGGTGTTGTAACAGCAACAGTTAAGACAAGCGCGTCATGAGGCCATGTCAAAGGCCTTAGTTCAATCTAGATCTCCTTGCAACAAGTGCCCTCTAGGGGACATAGGGCCTGAAACACCTGAGCAACCATGGCTGGGATCAAATGGGATGTACCTTGGTCTTACACCAAACACAGCTTCTACACTGAGCTCCTTCAGATAGTCACTACCTCAGCAAATTACTACTGTATTCTGCAGTGTATAATGTGCACTGTTTTGCCCAAATTTTTGAGGGAAAAATAAGAATGCGTATTATACATGGATAATACATGAAATACCTTGTATCTGTTCTTGTGACTTGTAATTATGTTACATAAAATTTCCTGTACCATAGTGTGTTAAAATAAATGCTAAAATTCCTTCATAATACAAAAAAAAAAATCTAACTAGAAATACATAAATAATTGATTTACAAAATTAAAATGATAAATTTTTTTTCTTTCCTGAAAGTTTGGGCCAAAAACGTGAGTGCGCATTATACACGTCAAAATACGGTAATTTTCCTATTCTCACTAGAAACCAAGTTCCTATAGTTGGAAATAGCCTACCCCTTTCTTCCTGGGTAAAGGTTAAACTCCACCACAGTATGACCTTTCAATAGAATAGCCCCAAGAATTATGCAGAAGTAAAGGGAATTTCCAACATACCACGTACTCCCTCGAGTTTCTATGTACTTTCTAGTCAGTAGGAAGTAGAAAATGGGTTCCAGACTATTAGAATTGTCCAAGACAAGAAGTAAGATGTGCTCTAACTTCATTTTCTTTGAAGCTCTGCTAGGGTGACCCTACCCTAAGTCTTTCTAATTGATCCACCAGCTCACCAAGCACATCCACAGGAAGTCAGGGTACACACAAGGGACATATAAAATGTGCACCAGACTGGAAGGAAATATATCTGATCAATTCTTAATTGTATCCCCTCCACCAGGACTAGCGACATAATTTCTCACAAGGTCAACTGCCATCTTCAGGACAGGAATCTACTGAATACTGAGATTTACAAGAAACCATTACTATTCATTCATATCTATTCCCACTAATTTGCTGCAAAAGAATCAGACCTTCCATGAACCACCAAAGTCTACATAGCTTTTTAAAGCCCTCCCACAAGGAAGAATACTTAATCAGAAATGCTGGGTGTGAGTGCTGACTCTGCCATTGGTGGATCATTATTTCAAGTCCCTAACCTTTGATCCTGTTTCCTGGTCTGCGAAGTGGCGATAATCTCTTTAACCTACTGCACAGCCACAGTGGGGAAGACAGGTCACAATGTAGGTGAAAGTGCTTTTTAAATTCTATCGTGCTGTGAATTGTAAATCTGTACTATATTGTAAGTACTATAAACTGTTTCTGAAATCTTAAGCACTTACCAATCGCCCCCTCCCACATTACATGCAATTCTTATGCAAAAATGACAATTTTCATCAAAGTTTTAGCAAACCCAATCTTTTCTCTTCCAAGGCAGCTGCATCAATGACGACCACCTCACGTAGACACTGAACCTAGGTCATCCAACAATTTTTGTCATCATAAAACAACAGTCTTACTTTGCCCACTCAGGGTGATTTGCTAGAGTTTCATTAATCAAACTGCTTGTGACTTCAATCATGTGTACACTCTCTTGATGTACCTGCATTACAGATATAGAGAGAAAACAATGTATATAAAAAGTAAATGCAACTCAACATTTATTTTTCTACACTATTATTGGAACAGTATTTTAGAGTCAGATAACTATAAATCTTAGTTGCAAACAATTTAGAAACCTGAACTCAACAGCTGCTGTACATAATATTCAATAACAGACACTATGGGAAATAAAATGTACATAATAGCTCCCTGCCTTCAAGAAACTCAACAATTTACTTAAGGAAAAATATGTAAAAGACATACAAATACACATATGCACAATAATATAAAAACATATTTAGTTCATATATGTATATATGTAAGCAGTATCAACATTACCTGAGCTTAAAGAATTATAATGCAATGCAAGATAAACGCACAAATTATAAGCAACTGAATAAGGTTTCTAAGAAGAAGAAAAAAAAGCCAACTGAAACTGTCCCAAATTTACCTTGCTCAATAATCAGCAAAATGAAGGAGATAAAAAAATAAACCCAAGCCAATGTCAGGGAAGAGGCTCTGTATGATTTTATTTCATTTAAATTTATTAAGCATATTGAGCATATGGCTTTTCCTAGTGCATATTCCATATTTAGTTGAAAAGAACACGATTCTGCTATTGTCACTTAGGTCAAATTGACTAACAGTGTTTTTCAATGCTTTTATGTCCTTATTTATTTTCAATCTGCTTATTCTCCCAATTATTCCAAGAAGAGTATTAATTAATCTCAACTATAATCTTTGATTTGTCTATTTCTCCTTCTAATTCTGAATATTTTGCTTCATGTATTTTAGAGCTCCATTTTTAGAGTATACACATTCATAGCTGTATGCTAATGAAGTATTAACTCCTTTATCATTATAGAAAGTCTGTCTCCAGTAATATTTGTTTTAATTATGTTGTCTGATATTAATATAATTACACCACATCTCTTATGTTTATAGTGTGCATGGTATATTGTTTTTAATCCTTTTACTATCAAATCTGTTAATATCTTTGAATTCAAAGTGTATCTCTTATAGATGTCATTTACTTGGAAACTGCTTTTTTATATCATCTGAAAAATCTGTACCTTTCAATTGTTAAGTTGCCTCACATTTAATATAAGCATTGATATGATGGGATTTAGGTCTATCATTTTGCTATTTGCTTTCTATCTGTCTCATCTCCATGGTTCTTCTTTTACAGACTCCTTGTATGTTAAGCAATTATTTCTTTCTATAGCATTTTAGTGCCCCTAAAATTTGGGTTATTTAGTGGTTGTGATTTATCTTAAACTTACTACACCTGTTATTATTAATTTATCATAATCTACTTCAAGTTAATACTGACTTACTTCCAATAAAGTATTTATAGGTACTTCATGCTCTTCAGATTGGATACTGTCTATTGTTCTTTATTCAAGTTCACTGATTTTTTCCCTTGCTTTCAAATCTACTGATGAGCCCACCTAGTAAAATTTTCACTTGTTATTGTTCTCTTAAGTCCTAGCATTTCTATTTGGTTCTGGTTTAGTGTCCATTCTCTGTTGAGAATCTGCATTTGTCTGTCCATTAGCATACTATTATTCTTTGAACATATTTACAATAGCTGCTTTGAAGCCTTTGCCTGCTAAATCCAACACCTGGGCCACCTAAGTGTCCATCTGACTGTTTTGTCTTTGCCCTTAAGTAATGAGTCAGACTCTTCTGTTTGTTTGTGTGTCTAGCAGTTTTTGGTTAAAAACTGGACACTAAAAAAATGTAGCAACTCTGCATTTTTTTCGTTCTTCTGAGAGCTGCTGTTATTTTGTTTCAGTAAGCAGCTCACTTATCTGTACTCAAACTAAAAAATAAATAAATAAATAAGCGTCCCTGCTTCTGACTTAGCTGCTCAGTGCTTTTTATGAATTCATTTATCCACTTATTGTAAAGCCCAATCCTTAAGGGTTTTCCCTGGGCCTGCATAGCTTAGCGGTCAGCAAACGAATCTGGCAAACATTATGCTCAGACACTTCACATAAGAAAGCTTCCTCCTCTCCAACCTGAAATATGTGAAAGGAGAAATGCAATCACAGGCACAAACCTGCAAATCTCCCCAGGCTTTTAACACGCACCGGGCTCCTTGGGGTCTCCCTACACATGCACAGTTTAGCAATCTAAGATGTGTGGTTTATTAATTTCAGCCCTTGCATGGCTTTCTTTCAAGCAAGCTTTCTTGCTTCCAGAAATCTCCCCCTTTCATTTAGAGCTGCTCTGTTGTCAGCCCTAAACCACGTCCATCACTTCCCACAGGAAAAGTTGCAAGTTTTGCTGCCTGCGAGAGGCAGGATGAGAATAACTCCATGCAAGAAGGTCACAGACTACCTGTTTCTACCAGGTACAATAGTAGTTTTTTATGAGCAAATACTCCTCAAGGTGCCTAACTGGTCATTTTCCCATGCCCTGATATGGTGTTTTAAAAAAATGTTTATACCATTTTATTCTTGCTTTCTGCAGAGAGCACTTACCTGATGTCCTCGCCCGATTACCCTACAGTATATTAAGAAGATGGAGCCAGAAAGGACCCTCTAACAAACTGGATGTGGATACAAAAGGAAGAAAGCAGTCAAGGATGACCTTGAGGCTTTTCACCTGAGCAAGTAGAATGGAACTGGCATGTACTAAAATGGGAAGACTCTGAGAAGAACAGACAAGCCTGGGAAGGTCTGAAATTCGGTTTTGACATGCTTCATTTGAGCTCTTAATTAGACACTCACGTAAATACTGTCATGGTGTTTTACAGAATGATCCCTTTATTGACTGGGAGAATAAATTAGATAACCAGTAAGTTTCCATCAAAAGCTCAGTTGGCACAAGTCCTAAAAGGACAAAGAAGTGGTTCAGTAACATGTTATCAAAGTTCAAGGAAGCAAAAGCTCATTGAATAGAATGAGCAAAGAAAAAAAAACTTGATGGATGAACTGAGTAAGACGGGTAGGCAAGAAGACCCTGTGAAAAGGGGCAAGAAGAAAAAGTGGAATAGAAGACAGCATGAGGGAGAAAAGAGAGGAAAACAGAAGACCTTACCAGTGAAAGGTTTCTCTACGAACAAGAATGGAAGATAAGATTGTATAGTAGCAGGTTTACATGAAATATGACAAAAACAAAGAAAGGTCTCTAAACAAGTCTGCACAGTCTATTTAAGTGACTATTCTACAAATGATTAATACCCAAAGATAGGAACTATGCAGACAGAAACAGAAGAGAACAGGTTTTTAGGAGCAAAAGGTAAGACTGAAGACATACCAAGACTGAGAATGAAGAATAGGACATCCAAGCAGAGAAATCACATAGCAAAAAACAATGCTTTAGCAAATGGCTGCATATTAGATTATCAGTAACAATCACTACTATATCTCTATAGTACTATATAAACATTTTTCATATCCATGATCGCATATAAGCTTCATGATTCCTTGAAAACAGCTTATCAAAATCTGGATTGTGGAGTTGGGCAAAGTCAGATAAACTAAAGATTAAAATACATTGTAGAAATCAGAAAAGCAAAAGTCAGTAAGAGTTATCACTGGAGAGAAACTTATAGCTGCATTTGAGAGAATGATTTTCTTTGATGATAGGAAAGAGGATGTTATGAACTAAACGACTATATTCCCCCCAATTCATATGCTGAAATCCTAACCTGCAACGATTAAGAGGTGGGGCCTTTGAGAGGTAATTAGGTCATGAGGGTGGAACCTCCCTGAAAGGGGTTAGTGCCCTTGTAAGAGCACAGGAGACCGATGACTTTTCCCTCTACCTTTTAAGGACACAAAGAGAAGACAGCCTTCTGTAAACCAGGAAAAGGACCCTCACCAAGAACTTAACCATGCTGGAATCTGATCTGGGGTTTCCGCCTCCAGAGCTGTGAGAAATAAGTATTTGTTGTTCAAGCTACCTAGTCTATGGTACCTGATATAGCAGTCTGAACAAAGAAGGGGAAGAGGAAGTAAAGGTAGAAGGACCTGGAGAGTAAGAAATAAAGATCCTATGGTATATCCCCAGAAGGACCAATGAGACAAGGGAAGGAACTAATCAAATAATTCTGATCTAGTAAACAGGGTACTCTAGATTAGCAGTTGTAACACCAGATCAGTTTTCCTATTCACAGAAGAAGCCACTTATTCCTCTGTATCTCAATTTTGTCATCTGTATTTACCTCTGAGGTATATGACGATGGTAAGATAAAAATGCATGTAAAAATATACTAGGCAAATTCATGGCAAAACTAGTAATACAAAAATTATGTGTTTTAGTTGTTATACATATTTACAAGCAAAGTTAACATTTTTCATACTGTTTCCACCAGCTGACTATCCACATAATTCTAGCAACTGAGAGTTTATTAATGGTAACAGTAATTATTGTACTCTACCTTTGCAGTCAGGAGTAGGGCTAAAAGAAGGGTTCCTATCACTAACAAAAATATGATGAAAATGCTAATTATTTTGTCTAACATCTTCTCCAACCAGATGATCATCTGCACAGAAATGAAAAAGAAAATTAGTTAGCTTTAAGTACAACTTAATAAAAACATATATGCATTCAAATATAATGAAGACAAAACAGGATATTCAGCATTACAAAGCGGACTACAGAATGATGGCTAAAGCAGTGAAAGCTGTAAGCATTCATAAAATCAACTAAGAGTATTAATTACTGCTCTTATATAAAGAGTGTATTCTTGTCATATCTAAGAAAAAGCAGTCAATTTGAACATAACCTTTATGTTTGAATTCTCATACTGTGGTATATTTACATTTCAAAATATAATTTATAATCTGGTAAATATTCTAAATAAGATAATGACAATCCATTAGCCAAACTCAAGTTTTATGAAATTTTACTGTCAATTAGCAAATATAGGTCACTTTAGAAAAAGAATGCCTTTTAGGAAGTACTGTCACTATATTTTTTCTTTGATGTCATTAGGGTTACAAAAACAGTAATAATAAAAATCTAATGTTTTGGTAATGATAAATACCAATTTCAAAATAATAGATACTCTGGGTGGGAAAAGGATCAGGGAGAGACACAAAAGGCGCCTCAATTATATAAGTAATGTTACATCTTTTAATATTTAAAATCATCTATAATAAAATACTTCTAAAGATGTAATATTCTACTGAAAATTTCTATTTTTTAAAACTTCAGCTTTATGCAAAATTATAACTGACTGCAAATAAAAAATAATCAATAAAATTATGCTCTCCCTAAACTCTTAAAACAGATTTACTTATTTTTAGAGAGGGGGGGAAGAGAAGGAGAGGGAGAGGGAGAGGGAAACATCGATTTGAGAAACACGGATCAGTTGCCTCTCACACCTGCGCCGAATGGGACACCCCTGCAACCCAGGCGTGTGTGAACCGGCAACCTTTCGCTTTGCGGGATGATGCCCAGCCAGCTGAGCCACCCCAGCCAGGGCCCTGAAAGCTATTTGACAGTCTATTTTGGGTATAACTTCTCTTATGTTTCACAGTCCTAAATAATCCTACACATAAAAACATTTATTTTCAGAGTATGTCATTCCTTCCAGGCAAAACTATTATTTAACGTTCAGAAAATACAATCAATCAGACCAATGGCTGCTGAAACAACACATCGCACCCCGCAACCCAATATCAACTACAGTAGTACTGAATAAGATATTCTTAACTTAAATCCAAAATATGCTCTCCAAACAGTGAGTTCAACATCCAAAAGCAAAGAATGGTGGTTAAAGGAAAAAAGAACAAACCAACAACATGACTTCTAAAACATTTATTTTCCACTCAAAGCTTAAAAGCTTGTATCCCCCTTATCTTTCCTGAAGGATACTGTCACTAGGAGATCCATGCTACTGTAAACCTAAGGATAAAAAGTTTACCTTCTATCTTGACAATTACAGCTTCAAACAAGAGAGTTAATTTTCAGTTTGTGCTACCGAAGCACTGAAGACAATGCAAAGATTTAAAAAAAAACAACAGGTTTCTAAGATATGGAAGGTCAGATGTCATATTTTGAATATAAGTTCTAAAATCAATGAAACTGGAAAGTTTCACAATCAGAAACCAACTCTACACCTCATTCATGAGAAAACTTCCTGAAGAAAGGACTAGTGCTGTATTACTACTACTTTGTTCTCCAAAACTTCAATGTATAGCACGAGGTAACGGCTCAGTTAACATATACCTGAACAGGCAAGCATAAATAAAATAATTTCAGAATTAAGACCAGATCTGTATTCACAAATTACAATTTCTGAAAATAGCTGGGGAGCCTCCGTTTTTGTTTGTTTGTTTGTTTTTAGAAAAGTCATATCCTAAAATGTTTTGGGTTTTTTGGGTTTTTTTTTTCACATAAATGATGTTCTATTTACAAAGTATAAGTATCCTAATTTATGTCTGGGTACCTTTAACATATAAAGCACAGAATATTCGTAAACATTATGTACATCAACATTACAAAATCAAATGTTACCCTTGTAACCCTGGTGAATGAAGTTTTTCAACAAGGGTAGAATTTTCCTATCACAAACTATATAATGAAGGATTATAAAAAATCCACACTAAAAGTCACCTAAATAAAAATTTATATTCAAGGGATAACAGTAAGGGTTAAAAAGGGTTAAATGTTTTATTCAAAATTTAAAATAAATAAAATCATTTAGGATGCTCAATACATAAGCTAAAAAAGTTGAAGGGGTTTCTAGTCACATTATGGCTTAGATGGAAAAAAGAAACAGGACAAAAGGACTGTGAAAGAGAGAGAGGACTGGGAAAGACAGGGAAAGGCTTATTAAAGAAGGGAAACGGAAAAAGTCAAGAGAAGAAAAAATGCGGGGAGGAGGGAGTTGGTGTGTAAAACTAGGGACCAAAAGAGGAGGAAAAACAAAATGAATAGCAAACTTTTATGGAGGAAAAGCATTCCCTGAAAGAGTGAATGGAACAAAACTCACAAGGAAACAAACTCAAAAGACATAGAAGGAGAAACGCGCACAGAGGAAGCAGTGGAGAAGGGGCAGGAGATGGAGGAGAGGATCCAGAGGGGGCGCCAGAGGGGCTGTTCCGAGGCTGGTGCTGTCCCTGGGGCTGACCCTGTCGGGCGATCTGCTCTGGGCAAAGGAAACCACACCACCTGCCACCACTGCCTTGTTCGTGGAAATCGCACTCCCTAGAAATTTCCCCAGTCTTCCAGGCTGTGAGAATTATTTTAGCTTTTGAACTTTATTTTCTAAAAGAAGAAGAGACGTTTTCAAATGACATTTTGAATGTTTCAAGTGTAAAACATTTAGAGATGTTGGTAAATTTACAATCGTATGAAAAGACACTCAAATTTCTAAGCTCACTGGTCTTACTTATCAAGCTATTTAAAAAGTGTCAAGCCACTACTTAGTTTTCTATTCCATTGTGCATGTAGGCTTGTAGGTTTTTGTTTTGCTTTGTTTTTTAACTAAATCTAGTTGAGTCTCAGTGTATATAATCAATGTTCTCGCTTCTTGTTTCCCAGTTTGTTCCACTTGAACTTGGAATACTGCAATTTTCTGACCTTGGATACAAGTAAAAAAATAATCTTCAGCTCACTCTCACCAGGTGGCTCACTTGGTTGGACTGTTGTCCCACAGACTAAAAAACTGTAGGTTCGATCCCCAGTCAGGGCACATGCCTGGGTTTCGGGTTCATCCCTGGCTGGGGTACGTGGGCAGGGGTGAGGCGGCCGATAGATATTTCTCTCTCTTTCTAAGATCAATGGGCTTATCCTCAGGTGAAGATTTTTTTTTAATTTTTTAAAAATAAGAATCCCCAACTTATTTATGTGCTCTCATGGAGCACACACTCTCAGAACTTAAAGCAGTTACTTCAACTCTACACCAATGCTTTATCTATGCTACATGGAATCAGCAAGGAAAAGAAAAAAGCTATTTGACCTCCTAGGAATCTTTTAAAACTCACTCGTTAGTCAGCTGTAAGTTAGGCACATAAATTAGGTGATCTAACTCATTTAGCTTTAAATCAAACTAAATCTAATGACTTTAAGCCTCCTTTCTATCATCTCTTGAAAAAAAATTCATTTCAACATATTTATGTATACAAATTAGGAAAACATATTAAACCACCTACTTTGATTAGAATAAGGAAATGTGACATGTTTGCAGCACTATCACCTGCCAAGGATTAAACTAATTTACTTAGACTAGTTTTGTAGGAAATGGAGGGATGTACAACCGTGTGTGTGTGTGTGTGTGTGTGTGTGTGTGTGTGTGTCTCCCGTGTATGTGTGTGTGTCTCCCTGTCCCCCCGCCGTGTGTGTCTGTCTGTCTCTCTCTCTCTCTCTCCCCCGCCCCCGCCCCGTCCACACATGGTGGTGGTAGTGGTGAAGGTAGTGTGTGTCTATTTATATTTTCCACACCGTTTATTTTCAACCCAAAGTTTAAAACTTTAGGCATTGTCAAGTCTCCCCTTTCTGTTTCAAAAGAATGAAATCCTGATCTCTACACACAAAAGTGGCCTTTTGATCTATTTCCATCTCTTTCTTAAAGCCTGTGATAGTATTTCCACTGAAAACTTTTACAGCCTACTGTGTTTAAACACAATACATGTAAATGATGTCACCTCTTGCTATCTGTCCTAGGAATCTAATGAAATTAAATCTAGAACTACTATATGTAGACTATACGTTAGAGGTGTATCACTCCTAGAATACCTGGATTAGCCTTTATTGAAGTTATAAAAAATGTACCTTTACAATTCCAAGCCAATCGCATGAATCATTTACCACAGACACAACCTGTATCTTGGGAAACACATGAAATTAGATGTCACAGGCCATGACTACCACCTTTTTTAAGTTAAAAATAAAATTCTGGAATACTAATTATAAAAATGGCAATACATAAAATCACCAGCCTAGGGAATTACACAAAATACTTCCTGTACAGATTCATCTTTTGAAAACTTCCTGTGTCATTTAAAGAAAAATTGGCAATAAAGAATTCTCTTCCCTTTTCAGTAGCCATTGCCTATGTGCTCTCATACATCAAAGGGGTCTAGGGGGTCAGACTGAGCCACCTCACAGAGCTGAAAAGGCATGGAAATCACAGTGGACACAAGGACTACAAGCCAGCACTTCTTACACACACTTGAGCAAGGATATACTACCAATATCCTACATAACACAGCTTGGGGATTTCAGCAAATTGTACTGTGACAGTATCAATGCCTCATGACCTTCCATAGCTTATAATTAGAGCTTTAATAACAAAAACTTAGCTTGCAATACAGACAGAAACAGAGTGAGAATGGAAATACAGGGAAAAGTTACAGAACTGAACAGTAAAAACCAACACCCGCATGTTCATTTACCTTCTTATTTAGCCAGTGCCAGAGCTTGAGGATGGGGGGTAAGGTGAGGAAGAGAAGATAAGAACAGTGGAATATCATTAGAGAATGCAATAACAGTATGAAAAGAAAAGAAAAGAAAGCCACTGAGAGCATGAGGAGGAAGTTATCCCAGACGAAAGAAAAACTAGTAAAAAAAAAACTGTAATGCATTAACAAAGTTATAAAATTGCGTAACTATAGTTATTCCTGTAAGATATACAGTGATTACAGTGAGGATAACCACAAGCTTTGCTGGCAATGCAACAATTAAAAACATAAAATAACCTGAAAGTTTGTAGCTTTAAATAGCCTCACCAAATTCCAGGTATTAAAATTATAATTAAGATCCTTTCACATCATGCGCCAAAAAGATTTTTAGTCCCTGTATAAGCCAGTTTTGTTCCTATCTTGCATTTTCATTGAAGTTTGTAGTTGCAGCTTTATAATGTTAGTTATTTCACATTTTTTAAAGAGTAAAACATTTTGGTGCTCATTTGGAACAGAGGACACCTGGTCAAAATGCAAGGGTATCTAAAATTCTGTTACTATTTGGTGTATTTCCTTCCACCCCAATTTTAGGCACATACTTTTCTATAAAAAAAAAAAAAGCAAGATATTATAGTGGGAAGACTAAGACATTAACTGAAAATAAGAGTTACGCTCTTTAAACAGTTCGAAGTGCTAAATCTGCTCTAGTAAGATAAAGTTTCATTCCAATACTAGAGAGATGTGATAAATATGCTGAAATTTTAAGCAAAGTCTTAGATTCCCTCTTATTTTAAAAAGTTGAAAAAATTAGTAAGAATACAAATAGGCAAATTACAAAAGAAAACTATAGTTAGCCGATAAGGATACAAAAGGATGATCAGCCTCATTTTTATTTTTAAAAATTTTAGATTAAAACAACATTGAGATACTTCTTTTTACAAAACCAAAAAAGCCTTTTTGTTACTATAATATACCTTGGCAAGGGCTCAAGGAAACAGGTATTCTCATCTGTGGCACTGGTGGGAATTAAAAAACTGGCAAACTTTCCAGGAGACAGGCAGTATGAAAGAAAATGTATCCCCGCTTCTCCTTTGACCCAGGATATTTTATTACGCACTTAAAAGATTTACGACCTCCCCTCTACATGCGCGCCAGTATATCTACACTGGTTTCACCCAACAGTACTTCTCGACCTTCAGTCATGAACAGACCTGCTGAAGGAAATAGTGACGGGCCTCCGTGACGAAGTCCAGCTCACGCGGCATGGCACACAGACAGACCTTCCTGATCCAGTCCCACCTGCCCCCAGGCTTCCCTCCCACCAGTCACCACTTCATACAGCCCAGCCATGACCAGTTTCTTGGCATTCCCTAAGAATTCACGGTGTTGACGTCTCTGTGCCTTTGCACCGCTCTATCCGTGTAACCTTCTTGCCATGTCTACCTAACCTAACAAACTCCTACTTTTATGCCTCAGAATTTGCCCTGGCGTTACCTCCTCTACAAAACCCTCTCCCTCTGCCTCACCAACAGTGAGTCCTTTTTTTCCTCAGTACTACCCCTGTATCCTGTCCATATTGGGTTGGCCAAAAAGTCTGCTCAGTTCCACTGAAATGGCTCTATAGCAGTTAGTTGTCTTTACCTTCACTCGAAACAATTTTTGTTAGACTATATTGCGACAGCTGCCATATCAGTGTGCACTGAAATAAAACATCAAAACTGGTCAATTTTTGTGTAGCCATTTTAATCTGGAAGAAGGAAGAAAATACTCAACATTTTCAGTATATTACGCTTTATTATTTCAAGAAAGGTAAAAATGCAACTGAAACGCGCAAAAAAAAAAAAAAGATTTGTGCAGTGTATGGAGAAGGTGCTGTGACTGACTGAATGTGTCAAAAGTGGTTTGCGAAGTTTTACGCTAGATATTCCTCACTGGGCAATGCTCCACGGTCCGGCAGACCAGTTGAAGTTGATAGCGATCAGATCGAGACACTGAGAACAATCAGCGTTATACCACACAGGAGACAGCCAATGTACTCAAAATATCCAAATCAACAAAGTTATTGGTGAAAATGAAAAATGTGTCTCATCTTATGGTAAAAACTAAACGGACTTTTTGGCCAACACAATACTTTTCCTCCACAAATTGTAACAGCTAACACTTGTATAGAGCTTAGTGTATAGCAGGCTCTGATCTAGGAATTGTACATGTATTAACTCATTTAACATTCACAAACCAATCTATGAGGCACATGCTCTTCCACCCATTGTATTAATAAGGAAACAAAGGCACAGAAAGGTTAAGAAACTATCTAAAGTCACACAACTAATAAGCAGCTGAATTGGGATCTGAAACCAGAAGGTGGATTCAGAGCCTATGCTAAATAAGCCTCTGAATCTAACAACTGCCTCTGAATTTTAATGGATTGCTGTCTCTGCCTAAACAGAGCTTCTGCATCTAGGTTTCTATGATTCATCTGCTTTGCCCCAGGACTTAGCACAATATGAGACATGGGAATTATTCCAAAAATAGTCACTGAACTGAGCCACTGCCGGGCTTATGGAATTTTTATAAATCAGTTAACCTCTCTGGGTTTCAACTTGATGCTTATAATTATTTAAACTAAATATATCCTATCCTTCCATAAACCATAATAATAAACTTTCTATTTCATCACAGAATTGCATTTTAAATGTGTTGTCAGAAATTCCAGTATAAACACTCAAGAGAACATTTCATACAATGAAATATAGAAACTCCGTTAACACAGCCCGAATTCTTAAAATACAATACCTTGCTATCGACTTTTAACAAGAATTTGCCCAGCCCGATGACCGGCCAGGGCGCTAGCGCGCCCTGCCGCTCCTTGAGGAAGCTCTCCACGGCCCGCCACCACTCGGAGCAGCGCTTCTCCAGGAAGTGCACGGCGCCGAAGTGAATGACAAGCTTTTTGAGTATCCAGACTATGGAGAAGATAAGAAGTACATGTGTGAACAAAACAGAGATTACAAAGTTATACCGGGAAAAGGTCCTTTAGTTTCAGGTGACTTTTCTAAAACAGCAAAGCTAGTATTAAAATAAAGATCAATTTTTAAAAAAAGGAGAGGGGGAGGGAAGGATGTTCAAGGCATTTACTCCAAATTGATGGTATTGGGACAAACAACTTTTCACACCAACTCCACCTGCCCGTGTACTTACTCTCTTCTTTGCGGAGTCTGAATCCCTGAAGTAGTCAGGGATTATTTCATAGCCTATATAAACATAAGATACCTTGATCATGAAAATTTCAGTGACTACAAACCCTCACACCTTACCCCTTCTGGGGTAAAAAGTACTAACCCCTGACATGTCCTAACCTCTTTGGCTATTATAGCTGCTACTGCCAAATTTTGTTCTTTTCCTTAGATTTTTTTTTTAATGTTTAGTGGCTAAGAAAGTAAAGGTATTCCATACACATCGTGTTTTTATACCACTGCAGGCAACATTTTCATTTATGTTCCTATTTCTCTACTTGATGTTGCTCTATATACCTGATTTTTTCTTTTTTTTAATCCTTACCCAAGGACATTTTTTTCATGCTTTTAGACAGAGAGGAAGGGAGAGAGGGTTTAGAGACAGGGGGTGGTGGGGGAGAAAGAGAGAGAGGGAGTGAGAAAGAAACATCAATTAGTTGTCTTTCATACGTGCCCCGAAGAGGGGTGTGTAAACGAACCTACAACCTAGGCATGTACCTAGACCGGGGATCAAACCCATGACCTTTTGGTTTGCAATGCCCAACCAACTGAGCCACACCAGCCAGAGATGTACATCTCAATCTTTTACCAGTATGCAGTTGAGAAGCAGGCTGGGTATAAGCAGGGCTATTATGAATGGTCCCTGAGTCTGGGCGCTGCACACCTTCACTCACAGACCACCAAAATCAATGTACCCCTCTGGAGTTAGGCAATGAGGCAGCCCTTCAACCAGGAGGAAAGTTTCCTGTTAAAGGCCAGCTAAGAAGGTGGTGGGACTAGAAAGAAGTGTTACCTACCTGTGAGAGTTACCTTGAAGTTTGAATAACTGATCCAACCACTACAATTTCCCTAACTCCAGGGGTTTCTAAACGCTTCACAGCTTACTATTTTGAACCATGAACTCAGTGTTACATTCCTTTATTAGTTCAACAATTCCTTAATTAGTATTTTTAAATCTCTAGAGAGGTCCTAGGAAAGGTCCCATAATCTTTAGAATAAGCCCAGAGTATTTATAGACTGTAGAAAACCTTCTGGGGACAACCCTGTTCACAGCCTGCTCTCTCGAGCCATGTCAAATTCCTACGATGGCCTGAGGGTTAAGAAGTGACTTAAGCAAAAGTAACTCTTGCTAATAATAAACTTTAAAGGAAAAGAGGTTCCAATAGCTGACTCATGATTTTCCAGCATAAAAGAAATCATCTGGCAAAACCAAAGTATGGAGCAATCCAGAAGAGCAATTTAAACTGTCACTAAGCAGTTCTATAAATTCCTTATAGAAAGCATGGCTGTACGTACTCTGTGACTTGCTTAATTACAAATGTTCTTGCTTCAACTGCCAAACAGAAGTTCTGCTTAAAGACATAAGAAGCAGACACAAACTTCAACCATTTATATTTCATGTTCCCTAAGGACAGACACTATGCAGTGTTCTGTTCATAACAAATCTTTAAAGAAACAGTAACTATTTAATTAACTGCCCAACTTAATGAGAATAATAAGTTTGAAAAGTAATGATCTAGAAGGTAAAGGTCCAATAAGGTTAGACCATGGTAGAAAACAGGCTTCCAATAATCAGGTTATGTTTAAATCAATAGTGGAACTTTGACATAGGATACAGGACTAATCAAATTTAGGAGATATCTAAATGGCAGGATCCCAAGCATCAACTGAAGACTTAATCAATTTGGCAAAGACTGTGACTGCAGTAAGAAAAAAAGCCCACACCACCAGGAAATTATAAAAGACTCTTCTACAATGCACCTGAGTCAGAGAAAACTCTTTCTCACTCTTGTCAGCATTAAAAGGTGCCTTTAGAAAAATCAGCGCAGTAGAGGTGGGCTTTAATTTACCATGGTATTCAGGTACAGAGACCTAGTTTAATGATTTATGAAAAGCTATATGATTCCATTTGATATGAAACATACAGTATGTGTACAAGAAATTTAATTTTCTGTCAAACAAAAAAATAATCACAATTTTGCATACATATAGTTCTTAAAACCCGTATTTCCATTGAATAAAAAATCCAATGTAAAATGTAAAATGCCCTTCATTTAGAGCAGCTCTCGAAATTCAATCATAAACCCAAAATCCAGATTGTTACCCTTCCCCTCCACAGAATTATAGATGGCTACACCGTCTGCTCTCCACATGGCACTATCAGGCTGTAATGCCACATGAAATTGTAGACACTAAATACATTTTTGAGCTTAAAAGAGAAATGTTAAAGAAGAATCAAGTAATACATTTCCAAAATAATGTTTACTATTTAAATGCAAACACAGGATCGTTTAATTTAAAAAGAGAGTAAAATTATCCCAAGTATTAAAATCCAAAAGTAAAAGAAAAAAATTTTTTTACCTGCAATCGGCACTGGCAACAGCTGCACAATCCACAGGTTCAACCAGAGCTGGACAGCAATGATGGCCCAAACAAGAGCCACAAAGTAGACATCGCTAGTTTTCTTCTTTCTAAGGAACGTTCCGATTTCAGGCTTTTGTCTGCCCAGTGTGGGTGAAGGGGTAGAAGGTGAAGAAGAGGACAATGATGGAGGGGGTTCTCCTCTGTCCATGGTTTCTGGAGAAAGAAAACAAATTACCCGCCACCTTAGTCCACATCAAGGAACAGTAATACAGAGCAATTCTCTCAGCTACTCTATTTTAAGCCTTCAAAGTGTATTCTGATCATATGATTACATTGGGTTAAAAGAAAAGATCTGGATATGTGCTTGCATATACACTGAAATATATGTGATGAATTAACAATGCTGGCAGTGTTTAAATCTAGGGAAATTAATTAAATTTGTTGGGGGTAGGGTTGGGTACGGGGAATATTTCCTTTTTACTTTATACTGTTCAAGCTTTTTATGACATATCTTTATTAATATAGTCATCATTTAAACAACTAAAGAAAAACATATAATAAAACAGCTGAGAATTATAATTAGTGCATGAAAATGACTCAAACCATGAAGGAACAAACATTAACATATAGAATTCCTGTACTTAAAAACTTCTCTTCTTTTAATATAACTTTATATTAGATGCATTTATATATATATTTCTGACACCATGTGGCTTTTCATTGTCATTTCACCTAAAATGGAGCCAACTGATCTTACAAGAAGAACCCGGGCTTTGAAACATGTGTTTCTTATTTTCTCTTAGAATGAGATATAAAACAAGATTTCTGGGGGTGAGTAATTTTCAAATAAAGGAAATCATACTGAATTATTTCACATGAGGCCCTGTTTTCTAATAAAGCAACTACTATGTTACATTTTAATACAGGACTATATTATTTCTATTTCTTAGTTTTAACAAAATATACCACATATGACTCCTGTGTCAGAAATCATAACTCTTGAAACAATATTACTCAGTATATACCATGATGATGGAAATAAGGTCCTAAAACTCATATTTTGTCTGCCACAAATAAGTTATTGACAAAAGTATCTATTTCAGAAAACCTAAACAGAAGAGAAAAAAAAGCAAGATCATCCGTAGTCCCAGCCTCTACCTGCCCCATAGCCTTTACAGTTTTGTATAGCGGTATCATGTTCCACCTACCCTGTCCACTCTCTCCCTTCAGCTGGGTGTCAGCTCCCAGAGAGCTAAGAACTTGTCTGTCTCGTTCTCCCTCCACTGAATTCCTAGCACACAGAACAGTACCTGACACATAGTGTATTCACTAAATATTGGTTGAAAGAATGCCTTCCCTGTATTCAAAATTTTCATAAGCAACTACACAGTAGTGCTACTTTGTAGTTTCCTCAGTGTTCCTTTTAACACTAAATGTTTAGCTGTAGTAAATTTTTACTACTGATTTAACCAGCACCACGGTAAATCAGCCCCCTCACCAGAACTAACACTCTGCCCTGAGATTTGGGGTTAAAGCCCAAGCTAGGTATGTTTCTGGTTCACTTTGCTCTCTGAGTATCTTTCTAATATGGAAACTTCATGTTGGTGGATGTGGCAGACATTTAGAAGAATAGTAAGTCAGTAACCAAAACATCATCCCTTCTCCACTTTGAAAACACAATTCAGTATGCAAGAAAAGTAAGTTGTCCTACTACTCCAAATGCATTCTTCTTAGCTGACCTTTCCTTCGAGACTTCTCTAACGTCAGCTCTTCAAACAGAGCTCACTAAAAACATTCCTCAACTCCAAAACCTTTGTCACTAAAAGGACCTGTTGGCCCAGGAGAGTGGCCTTTCACGTCCCTGAACTCTGTGCGTACAGGGTGGCTCCGCAGCTGACCTGAATCAGCCAGCTGGATCCCACAGGAGCACTGGCCCCAGAACAACCAGAGGGGTCTCTTTTAACAGAAACAGCCAACATATTAACAGCATGAGGCATGCAAAGCAAATTTTGAGAAGCAGGTAATGCTAGAGAAATGGATGACTAGAAGTTAGAATGTAAAAGCCAAAGGGAAGGTTTGGAGAAAGGGAACAACAACCAAAAAAGCAACATAAAAAGTTACAGCAAAATAGAACCATGGAGGAGAACTCACCGCTATGGAAGAAATGGAAGATATAAAAAGGATCATGGAGGGGAAAATATGGACAAAGGTAAATAGGGCACTGAGAAAAGGAAAATAATATGAAATTAGGATGAGAAATAACAAGGAAGGGAGGAAGGGAAGGAAGCATTTTTTTAAAAAGGGAAGAAAATGAAGAATCAAGATAGCAACCTAAGAAGGTAAATAATTAAATGTGTGAAAAAAGTGATATGTGAGAACAAAGTTGAGAAGGAAAAAAATGTAGAAAGGAATCAGAGAGAAAAGTGAAGGGCCAGTAAGTAGCTCTTTGTAATCCTAGTATCTTTCTTAATTTTATATTCTACGTCCGTTTCATTTTCCAGAATGATTTTGAAGGCATTCCATCATAAGGTCAGTCACCTTCAGGCTGAGTCGAGGGCTGGTCTTCAGCGCTCGATTCGTATCCTGTGATAGAGATAGCCAAGGTTGCCAGAGTAGACGCGGCCATGGAGATGACTTGCCCGGATAACTCTGCCCCTGTAAAACAAGCATGCGTTTTCAAACCTTTTAAAAGCACATGAACAAAGTGGGAAATAACTTGCAAACTAAAACACAGTTCTAAGTTTCAACAGCAGTAAAACAAAATGGTTATTAGTGACCCACCAGACCCTGTCATTATTTGCTAAGGAAGAATACTTAAGAATCAACAGGGAAGTCTGCTAAAAATGCAGGTTCCGGGACTCTTTTTCATTTGGAAACTTCATGCTGGTACATAATGGCAGACAGAGGATATATAAGCGTAGAGTGCCACATTTATATTTTTTAACTTCACAGGTTAATTTTAATGCACTTTTCTGTTGAAAAACACTGCCACACCAAGTCTGTGAGCTTCCTGAATGTAGACTATCTCATTCTTGTTTGCATGACTAGCTCATAGTACATACAGTATAGGACAGCCCTTATTTGGTGCTCTCAATTATAACATTCTACAAATGAATATGTAGTGTATGGGTCCTATGCAAAACTACATACATCTATAAAGCACATAGTTCAGCATAGGCAAAATCCACTACTTAAAAATCTAAAATATTATTACCCTGTTTCATGTTATATGTTCCCCTGTTAAGTTCCCAATAGGTAGTACACCAAGATTAACCATCTGTAGTAGCCTCAAATAAAACATTTACTGGCCAATAAGATTTGTCAGTAATTATTAGTCTTTAACATGTTATGGAAGACAGCACAGGCTAGCTGACAGAATATCAGATTCTAGCATGCTTTCCTGCACCCTAGAGACTTGAAAGCTAAAGACTACGTTTTTTGGACTCCCTTACAGCTAAGGCTCCACATGTGATACGGTTTCCACCAAGCAGGCACACGTGTGCAACACTGTGAAGACCAAAGTGACTCACAGTAATTTGGAACTTATACTGTGTGTATACTAGGTGGACACACAGTAATTTGGAACTTACACTGTGTGTATACATGTCAAACACAGTCACAGAGGCATATGGCATTTCCACAGGAACTTAAACAGAAGTTTCAGATGTTCTGCTATCTAATCTCTAGCTCTGCGGCAGGTAGCAGCAGCTATGGTACTTCTGCTCCTTCAGTCCTTGGGTGTCACTGAGCATTTCTCCTGGCTGCATTACTTCTGCCTGTGTCGTATACAAGTTTAACTGTCTGGTCTTTCCAAAAATTCTATATGCAAAAATTCTGTATGCTAATCAGTATCCCTTTCTATTTAGACCAGCTAGCATGGATTCCATTGTCCACAACTAAGAACACTGATCGCTCCTTGTTTGTTACCAAATAGTATACCCACATTCATACAGCTGGGACCTTATTTTTGGGAGGCCAATACTCAATGTGATAATGATAACACAGAATTCTGCCAAGCCAATGAATTTCATCCCCAAATGAACTACACGTACCTAATAAATGAAACATTCACAAACACTAACTTGTTCTCCAGCTTGCTGATATCACTAAAATACAGAGTAAATATTCAGTGAGTCACTGCTAAATCAATGAAAACTATGCAATATCATGTATGCAATATTATGTATGGTTAATACATAAATGACTCAGCAAGTTTCTAGAGTGCCTGAACTTCACAAATAAAAAGAAGAGCACACACACAAAAAAATCAACAAAGAATATCTGAAAATTATGGATGTAAGATTTGGATATTGATCTTATCACTAAGACTTCTGTCTTAGTGATATCTGCCTGCACCTCCGAAACCCCAAGGATTTGGGAAGGATGATAAACTAGACAGAAAAAACCCAGGACTAAGAATCTAGACAAAGTTATGGTATTAGCAAAAAAGTCCCAGCTAAAAATAGACACACAGACAAGGAAACATAATCTTGGGACCAAGAACTATAAACAAAAACGGAAAGAGCATCCAAGGTTTCAAGTGTCAATCTACCCAGGGATAGGGCCAACATTCAGAGGGGGCCCACATAACAGGGATCTACACAAGCCCAAAGAAGTAGGCCACTGACATTAGTAGCCGAGCTCCAGGGGACAGCAAGTCGCAGTCCAGCAAATCACAGAACAGTAACACATCCCATGTTCCAATAGTATCTCTTAGTAGGTAATAGGCAAAATAACATTTTTAAAAATCAGGGGGAAACATATTTTGAAACCAGTCTAAACAAGGAAAGTTGATCTACTTTGTTCTCTTTCATAGGAATAATGGCAGTTGCCAGAAATACATCCAAAGACACACACTGGAGGGAGGCCCTGCAGACCAAGTGAAACCTCCCCAGCATGCAAAGCTCCCTGTGAAGGAGGCTTGCATTTCCATTACTAATAGAGAAACTACCTCTCCTTCTCAATGGCTTCTAGTATCACCTCATTACACTATGGTCAGTAACAAGTCCGTGGATACGCACCAGCAGGAGTTTCTCTAGGTCTATTTGACTGACAGTGTCAGAAATGGGGACTGGGAGATGAGCAGTAAAGAAAATCTAGTTTGTTCCTTTTCTTTTTCCAATTTGGGCTTAAGTGGACCAAACATTTTCACTCATAATGCATGCTGTCCTAAAACTACTAAGGCAACTACCCACCCTTCCTGAGAAGATACTCCTGGTTATTTATAAACAATTACCAGGGTTAGGAGGAACAGCCCCAGTTGTATTGTACTTGCCATACTTCTCAGGCAGGGTACCCAGGCTATTAACAACACATCTGATGTGTTTCCCTGGCTTTTGAAGAAGCCCTTCTCACACTAAGAATAAGTGGTGGAGCTTAAGTTTCTTCATCTGTAAAGTAAGTATAATACCAGGCTCGCTGGATTACTAAGAAAACCAAATGAGACAGCATGTTTAAAGAGTCTAACAGGGCCTGCCCGTGCTGTCGTCCCTAACAATAACGCTGACGTTCCTCTTTTCTCACAGGCTAATGAAGCACATCAAAGCTGGGGACAGGGTTCGACCAAGTGAGACTTCCGGGATCCAGGTGTCAGAGAGGCGAGGTCCTGCAGCTGCAGGAAGCCAACAGGGCCACCATAGAAGACCGAAGTAGCCGACAACCACAGCTGAGTTCAAAAGGATCAGCAGTCAGTGCCTCTAGGATGACTGACACTTGTTCAAAAAGCACTGGGCTTAGGGTCAAGGACCTAGGTTCGTACCTTAGCTCCACCAGTCACATGCAGGACTGTAAGCAAGTCAGTTATCTCTGGAATGAAATGTCTTCATCAGCAAAATGGAGATAATCATTCTATAAAGGTTTTAGTGGTTGTTTTATTTGTGGATTTAAAAAAAATTAGTACATTTAAAAGCATGGGAGATATTTAACATTCTTTCCCTACATTATGTTGGGGTTCCAGGAAATACCGGTAAAAGCTCCCAAGGCCTAAGAGAAAACTACTGAGTAAGGCCCCTGGGTTCAGAAGGAACCTCTGAAACTAACTCAGCAATAATCCACAAGAAGAGTGTTCTGGACATAAATAAACTCATGCCTTGAATTCTGATAAAATCCAAAGGATTGATTCCGTTGATCCAGTGAACCACAGATCATAAAAGTGTCCGCAGCAGCAGAAGATTCAAAATTCAGTAGACACAGAGAAATATGCCTACAGAGGTGACAGGGACACAAAAGCAGGTCCTACAACGGGTCAGCGGAAATGACAAGGAAGGAAGGAATGCACACGCTGTGACGGCAATCCACTGAAGCGCTCCTGTACCCAACCACATTATGGCGACATCAACAGGTGGGAACTGACTATAATAAAAGGAGAAGGCTGTCCCAATGTGGACTAGATGATGTGACTTCTGACACCTAAAAGAAACAAGGTTCTATGCACAAGAGGAAAAAAATACTCAAAAATTTAGAAAAAATTTTTTGAAAGATTTATTTTATGATTAGGATTATCTAGACTAGAAGTCCATAACAGGATTCTAGATCACGAATAACCTATTCCAAAGTAGGCTGGAATGAGAGTAAACAAAATGAGGAAGACCAACATTTCCAAATCTGCTCACAACATTTATTCTGTGTCCCTGTGAGTCCCTTCTTTGTAAGTGCCTAGCATACAAATACTAGAACTCTGGCTTGCATGCCAATGCCCCATTATCCTGGATTTCTGCCTGTTAATAATAATGGAACATGGCTCAAAACTTGGTCTTAGAATTCTTGTTCCCACAGCTGTCTAGGCTGCCATCACCAGCAGACTAGAATTTATACCCAAGATAAAACCCACCTAAAACCTTTGGTTTTAAACGTACATTATTCATATATGTATTGGAAATAAAGCATTTACTTAGCTCTGGACAAGGCAGGCGAAAGGAGAAAACGGTCCTGGGGTGAGGTGTAAGCAGCAGAGCCACTGGAATCACTATTATTCTAGCCAGAGGGACGAGTGAAGACCACCAAGCTTTCTATACTAGTTGCCAAAACAGAGAGTTTACTTCTACTGGTTTGATATATAACCAGAGTCTAAAGGACTGTGATCAGGAAGATAAACTGAGCAAAGAAAACAGAAAGACAGCAAAATAAGATAAAATCTTTCCTGTTTTCCACTGTCAGAAAGATAAGTAACTAAGGCTTCTTTGTTTCAGGTAGTTATGAAAGACGTCTTACCATTGTCAGACTTTATTCATTTAACAAATAAAATAATTTTAAAAAGCAACATAATTAAAAATAACTTCTGTAAGGTACTGTACAAATGCAACCAAAGTGCCACAAATAGCCTTGTGATTAACGTAAAGTGAAGATGCCAAAATTAATGTCGTCGCGAGGGGGGGGGATATTTGACACGAAGGGCGCTCATGACATAAGTAAGTTTAAAATGTGGGTCACAAAAGAGAATGTTCACTATGATCCAGTTTACTTGTGTTTTAAAAATTCTGAAGGCACAAAAACTATTAGTTAATATTTTGGTATAATCTGCAGGCAGGGGATTTTGAGTAATTTTTATTTTCTTTTTCTCTGTATTTCCTAACTTAATTGTGACAAACTGACACCTCAAAAATTAATTTTTTTTCCTTCTAAAAATCTGCTACAATTAACAATTTGCTCTTTCAGAAAGAAGCAAGGGGTAAATATCGGTCACTTGCAGAAACTGTGTGCTGTTCAAATGCACCTCATCAGACACAGCTGCTTGCACACGGCTGGGTAACTGCAAGTCCAGGAGGGCCGTTACCCGATCTGGCCACGGCTCCGCGCCACGCCCCCTCTGCCCCCTCACCACTCGATTAGAAATCTGTATCTTTAATCTTTGAAAGAACATGGTATACCCAACGTTGTGCTAGAAGTTTTAACCAGAGTAATCAAGCAAGAAGAAGAAATAAAAGACACCTTAATTAGAAAGAAGTAAAACTATCTCTGTTTGCAGATGACATGCTCTTACATTTACAAAACCCTAAAGAATCCACAAAAAACTATTAAATAAACAAATTCAAGAAAGTTGCAGGAGACAAGATCAGCAGGGGGGAAATACTTGTGACTTTGGATTGGGCAATGAAACAGGACACCAACAGCACACGCAACAAAAAATTGGAAAATCCACAAATATGTGGAAATTTAACAACACATTTATGATGAATCAATGTGTCAAAGAACATATCAAAAGGGAAATCACATAGTATTTGACTCAGGGAAAATGGAAACACAACATTTCAAAATTTATGGGATGCAAAAGGAGTTCTAAGAGGGCAATTTATAGCTATAAATGCCTACATTAAGAAAATAGAAGTATCTCAAATAACTACAGTTAGTGCTTAATGAGTATAGCTTCCTTTTGGGATGATGAAATATCTTAGAATGAGATGGAAGTAATGGTTGCATGCACTGTGAATGTACTAATGCTACTTTAAAATAGTTACGATAAATTTTCTGTTGTATGAATTATATCTCAATTAAAAAATGTAAAAGAATGTGGAGGGGATACAGTCTAACAACGTAATATGTTACACAAATTCACCACAGATTTTTAAACAGATTTAAAACGATTTCATCATAGCATGATTTTTAAATAAAGCTAGTCTCCTAAATATTTCTTAAGAGTAACAGTAATAGAATGCCCTGTTTCTTACCAGCAGACTCTTTTCCATTCTGTTTTTCATAGAGGGTGCCCACCGACATCAGGAAAACAATAACCAGGAATACTGGAATTCTCCATGAGCCAGCCAGAGATGCTGCAAATTATCAAGAGTTAACATTTTTAATGAAATAAAAACCCAGCATTTGTCTTTAAAAGAATCAGTTTAGTAGACTGACAGAACAATTTGACATAAATGTTAACAAAATGGCTTCACAGGGGAAAATTTAAGAAACTGGCCATCAGACAGGCAAAGCCTAACTTCGGGACTTCTCTCAGCTCAGTCCAGTCCTGCTGCCAGAGGCCCTGGTCCAAGGATTGGCCATGCGCCAGCCCACCTTTAATAGGCTTGTGTCCCCTGAGGAGGAACCAAATCCAAACCGAAGCACACCCAGTCCCACCCCTCCCCCACCCTGCCATTTAATCCTAGCTTTTCCCGCATCAGGCAAGGGTCCTAAAGTCAGGCAGCCTGACTTGATTTCCTGAAAATACCACTGGATGTGTTGTCTCTCAAGAAAGGGTGCAATGACCCCAAATGGCACTGCAAAAGGCTTCAACCTATCCTCCTCAGTGTGTACTGCGAAAATGCTAACACGTGGCTACCCATTAGCCATTTGTAGCCCCCTGAGTTTGTCTAGACCCTCACGGACATGGAGCTGCCTGCCTCCCTCCTCTGCGTTTCTCAAATTCAAAATGAGTCAAATCACATTATTAGGGGATCTTGCCGATGAACTCCTCTAGCATCCCGAGTCAGCAGAGCTAGGGAATAATGCTTTACTCAACATCAAACTTGAAGCAGAGACATATTTTCAGTCAGCTTTTTTTAAAAAAATTTTTAACAGTAAGTAGCTCTAAAAAACTATCTACTGCTCTCAGTTACTGAATTTTGCTTTTAAATTAGAACTCAGTTGTTTCCAAAGACTCATACTTGGAGGTAAAAGAGTCCCTGAAAACCACTCTCCGCGGAGCAGCCATTCAGCTACAACAGTGCCGTCTCAAATAACAGGGAAGTATTTCGAGCAGCTCCAACACTGATCTTTATCATGTAGAACACAGATTTTTTTTTTTTTCCCCCTGAAGCTACCCACTGCTCTAACATCTCTCCCTACCAGTTTAAACCACTCCTTCACAGGAGAGGCTTCCTATTTCCTCCTCGCCTCCCCCTCTCCCCACTCCGGTAGCCTAGCTCCTCTCTTATCCAGGGTAAACATCTCTGGTACCTTTCATTGTTTCTCATACAGGATTCTGAGCACCTCTTAGCGCACCTGACGGCCTATCTCTATCCTTCTTCAGTATGACACTCAGAAAGGGCCGAGATAGCCCAAGAGCGCTCCACTTTTTAAGATATATTTATTTTTAAAGGACCTTTTTGAAAATGAACATTCAATATAATTAAAAGGTAGCATACCATTTTCATTAAAGATTAATAAAATATTAAAGCAGAACATTTTCTACAGATTATGTTAAAAAAATTATAAATGCAGTATGTAACACTCCAAAACTATTGCTTTGATTTGCACAATCAGCTGCTGCTTAACTTAAGCTAGACTCTTAGAAAAAGTGACCCACCTAAATGAAAAAGCAATATAATCCAGACAGGAATTGAAACTGCTCTCAAGTAGCGCTCAGTGCTTGCATTCCACTTGAATGAAACAGTCAACACATAGCCAACTACCAACGTCCAGATCTTAAATAAATGAAATACAGACACAGTTGTAAAATTATACACAAGAAAATAAACATACAATTATACAAAGTGTGCAAGCATCTATATCGCATGAGGGCTGTGGTCACAACACAGATAAAATGAAGGCTGGCGGTGCTAAATGGAGCACGCGCAGGCCTTCCTCTGTTAAGGTGAACCAAGTGTTAAAATAAGCAGGCATTTAAATCCCATGTAGTGGTTTCATTGAAATATGTTTAAGCAAAAATACATATAGCTTTAAGATACGTTAAAGTTCAAAAACTATGGTATGCATAAAGATACTTATGATAAAATATTAAATTTTTAAGCCGCAAACGTAAGCGCTTAATCTTGTGAAATTCTTAAAGTTTTCTCTATAGGTTAATGTTTAGAAAAGAAAAGAAAAAAAGAAAAGCTTTCTGAAAAGAATCAGGTTAAAAGATCCATTACAGCCTACGAAATACGCTTCTCACTATGGAAAGAATTTTTTAAAGCTAAAAGAAGGCAGCAGCTGAAGTGTGACCCTGATAAAATAATCTACAGAACAGGTGGTTACAGCCCAATCCAGAGTTAGATGCACATTTGAAGAAGGGTAGCTGAAAAAAATATAACTAGAGGAAGGAAGAGTAAGACTTGAAAAGCGAATATCCAGCCAGTGTCCCCTCCTGGGTCCCTACACTAAGCCTAAATGACTAGGGCACTTTTAAAGAAGCATCAGCACAGCCTGAGCAGAAGCTCTCTAATAACCTCAGACTGTAACAGAACATTTACAAAGATGGAAGGACCATGTAATGCAGAACAAATGCGAGTACCAGGAACATATTAAAATAACCTAAACCTTAAAAAGAGAAGGCAAATTAAAACAAAAAAGAACTTCAAGCTCTAATTCAGAAAATGAAGAAAAAGGAACTGATATGATCCCTACAGAAGAGAGAAAAAAACTAACTCTTACTTTAGTCGTATCTATCAATAAAAATAGTCTTCGGATCTTAAAAATGTTTATAGCTTCTGACCTGGGAATTCACTAAATAACAATCAACTCTATAAAAAGCAGCTCATCAGTGTCATTTAGAATACTGAAAAGCTGATAACCTAAAAGTACACCTGGGAAATGGCTAACTACAGATAATTCAATGAAGAAAATGTTACACAATCATTAAAATAGGTTTTGTAAGCAAGACCATATAATTAAAAATAATCCTAATGTTATTAAGGAAAAGCAAAATAGAAAAACACATATGACATGATTATATCTACTACATGGTAAGGAAAAAGAAATGCACTATGAAACTAATGGTTGTTTTGTGGTAGTAAGTTTTGTTTTTCCTTTTACCTTTTTCTGTATTTTCCAAATTGCCTTTCATAAGCACTAATTCTTTTATAAGGAAAAGGATATTAAAATATTCTTCCTCAAGCAAACTATCAGGTGAAGTATTACAGAGATCAGAAGCCCCAGATATATGACTTCATGGGAAGTGACCGGCTGCTTCAAGCTTGCAGGGCCACACAAATTTAACCCTAGGAGTTCAAAGATTCTGAGATATGACTGCGGAGCTCAGAACAAAATCTGAGTATACTAACAGGACATGTCCCTAACCCCTACTATGGGCCAGGCCCTGTTCTCATGCATTGTCTATCTGAACTCTTTTAATTCTCATAAATTCAAAAAATAAGTACTATTATTCCCATTTTACAGATTAAAGAAACTGCTTAAAAGTGACAGCAGGATCAGAATCTGCTTTCTTAACGAGAAGGAGAAGGAAGGGTGGTGCTAAAAACTTTTTTAAAAAGGAAAAGCAGCTCGAATACTCACAAGGGAAAGAAACAAAAGAAGGAAAAAAAACAACAACAAACCATCGATCTGGGCAACTACAAATGGATGAACTGAAAAAGGATCCTTAGCAAATGGATGGTCTTCAGTGGCAAACTACATACACAGGGGTAATCGGCCCCACCCTATTAAACATGAAGTCAGTAATTTAGATGAAAGACTAGAAGAAATATCAATCAAACTCATAGATTACACAAAAATTGGGCTTAGTCAGTAAGATTGGGTGACAATAGTGATTCAAAAAGATCTTGAAGTTAAAACAGTAGGCTACTTCAAATAAGATTTAATTTAATAGAGAGAAATGCAAAGTTCTGCTTTTAGATTCAAAACTCAACTGCATAAGTATAGAATGGGAAGAGGGCAGCTAAGCTCCCTTTCAGTTCAGTGAGTCAGAAGTATAACTGGTGTGAATGCCTATTAATAAAAGTCCAACATTCATATCAAGGTAAGTAATTGTTTGGATGATATTTGCACTGCTGAACCACATCAGCAATAGAATTCAGACTGGGAAAGGAAATGGAAATCACAACAGAGGATACAGGGATCTGGGGGTGGGGGGAGAACAGTTTTAGCTGAGAAAAAAAGAGGAAGTGTCAAGATTTGATAGCTATCTTTAAATAACTGGGGAAATGTCATCTGGGAAGGCATGGGACTTAATTTTCTGTGGTTCTGATGGCAGAAATAATAGGTGAGATTAGTAAGCAACACATTTCAGCTCAATATGAGGATAAATCTTTTTAACAACTATAGCAATCTAAAAATGGAATAAGGTACTATCACTAAAAGTGTTTGACCATAAGTCAGAGAAGACAAACTAGGAGAGAAAAGTTTGCCTTCAGTGAGAAGTCAAACTAAAGGATTACAAAAAGGTACAAACTTTCCAGAGTTTCAGTCCACGGTACTTCAAAACCAAGCGTTTTCGTTTCTTTTCTGTACTTAGGAATCAATATCACTATCAGGGAGAGAAAAATATAACAGCCTGCATACTTCATATTTTTTTAAGGGAAACTTAGGGTCCAAAGTGGACTTTTAACTCACAAATATCTCATTTCAGTTTAAAACAACCACTGAAACACACTCCTGAGTTCCACTTCTGGGAATTTGGTTTTCAGAAGCACACTATATACTCTGCAGACAAATATAAAAATGTTCACTGTGGCAGTTTAAAATAATAAAAAATGATTAAAAAACAATGTCATTTTTATAGAGGACTACTTAAATAATGGTATCTCTAAAAATGGAACAATTACTCAGATTTTCAAAGGTGTAATGAATATCTATATCCAATGGTACTATAAATTTATGCAAGTGCAAATTTATAATGGTGAAAATGTACTTTCATGAATGTTAAACAATGTATTTATTATCTCTGGATGGTTGGATTTTAGGGGTTAATTTGCTTTGTTATGTGTTTCTTCAAATACTGAATTTTCTCCTGAGTATTATTATTTTGATAAATAGAATGTTTTTACTTAAAACATAGTTTGGCTTACTTTGAATTTCTTTTCAATATTTTGAAGTGTTTCCTCAGAAAAAGAGTCACAGAACATTATTATCTCGAAAAGTGTGACCATTTATAAAAACACTTTAGAGTTTGTATTAAACTATTATGATTATATGATTGTCAATATTTAAAAATGTTTATCAGATTATCCTAACACAAATTCAGAGTTTAGATAATCTGGTAGAAACACTTTCTAAAAGGCATCTTTAAAAAATATACTACAGTGCTATTAAAAAGAAAGAAGTATAGCTATAAGTGCTAAGAAGGAAAGATACAATACAATGATAAGTTAAAGAGCAAGGTGCAGAGTTTTATATTATCCCATTTTTGTTTTAAAAAATGAAAATCCTATACTTTATGTGTCCTCATAGGCACAGAAATAAATTTAGAAGGCTGTTCACCAGTAACAATAGCAGCATCCATACGGTGGAAATGGTGCAGAAGAGAGACAATGATTCGCTTTTACCCTATAAATGCCTATGCTACTTATATTGTTTTTATACAACAAGCATGTTTTTCTTGAGTCATTTTTTAAAACTGCTACATAGTCTTTAAAATAACTGAAAATGAGGATTTATACATTAAAAATTCATTTATAACTTCCAGTATGGATGCCCAAAAGTATGACTTTAAAAGTTTTTTACTTGTCTCTCAGTGTGATATGCTTAGCTTCTGAGCAAACCTGCTCAAGTATGAATTTTCTTCCCAAGATAAATCAGTGAGCAATAGTTTATAAGTAAAAGGTCATACTTTCCCAAATTTATGCTCCTCAAAACAATGTGTCCTTTTCAAACTATATATTCACTACTTCTTTTAAAGCACTACATACGACTCTGCATAATGTGTGCTAGATACTATATAAGACTCTGCATAAAAATTTGCAATATTTGTTTAGCACTATGAGTATAACAAACTAATAATCACACTTTCCTTTTACTTATTATCCACATATACTTTCTGATTAAAAAATATTAAATGCATATACCATAAATAGATTTTGCCTTTTAAACTATGTCACTGGTTGTTGGTTTCTTGGGGTATTTTTGGCATTTTTAAAAACCTTTTACTTATTTACTTTCAGAGAGAGGGGAAAGAAGGGAGAGAAACATCAGTGCATGACAGATACATGGGTCTGTTGCCTCGCACACGCCCCCACCTGGGGACCTGGCCCACAACCAAGGCATGTGCCCTGACTGGGAATAGAGCCAGTGACGACTTGGTTCGCAGGCGGGCACTCAGTCCACTGAGCCGCACCAGCCAGGGCTCATTGTTTTACTGTCGTCTGTGCATAACTGGAAAAACAACTTGGCTCACTTCTGTCCTATGTTCTTATAAAACAGTTTTGTAAATCTTGTACAAGAGAGTAAACCAACAGACTTCTTCCAAAGTTGTAGAGCCACAACCCTAATCACAGCCCCAATCCACTACTTCTTCAGGGACTTCACTCTCCTTGAAGATAGCTTAAGGCTAATTTGAAAACTGTTCTCTTGGCGGGAACTTAGAGAGTCAAGATTCCTTTGGAATCAAAATCTGGAAAGCTTCTTCCTTCCCATTGCCCAGCAAGCAAAAACACATGTAGAAAAGGGCTCCGAAGCGGAGCTGAGTAGGCCTGGATGGCTATGTACGCTTCCTAAGAGCCTCACCTGCAATACTGCCAGACTCTTGGGATCTGTGAAACTGAACACCAAGGAACCTTAAAAACTGGTCACGTTATTTCCACATTTCACACACCTGGGGTTGAGTAGCCCAGAGAAGAGCTCTGGTCTTGTTCAAGGTCATGAAACAAGTTACTGACAAGAGTTCAGCTTGGAATTTACACCTTCTCATCTTTCAGCTGCTATTCTTTCCCTACTCATGCTTCTTTGTAAAGTAAAATGAAAACAATGGGAATAGAGACCAGAGAGAAAACAAACCTATTACTACTGCAAAAACTGTAAACAGTCTTCAAATTTTCCAACAAGTCTGAAGCCATGGAGAAAGGAAAAGCTAAACACAACCAGCAAACAAAACACGGTGGCATGGGGGAGGCCATGGGCTTTTCAGATCCACCCTGACAATTTTACACCATGCGGAGGGGCCAAGAACCCTAAGGACTGCGTCACAGGAGAGCTTGGTGCAACAGATGACTTTTTAAGTGTTTAGAAATCACTTACTAAGTCAGTACAACGTGCTAATATATTTGAAACTTTAAAAAGAACTACTCATGCCATAAATGTAAGCAGGATGGAGCGTTAGGAGACCCGAGTCAGGAGAGAGAGCTAGGAGTCGCTAAGAAACCCAGAAATGAAGGGAAGAGGAACTGAACCGGAAAGATAAACCAGGAGCAGGGGAAAATACAGGCACTGAAGACACTACAAAGGAAAACTGGACAGGACTTGGAAATAACTCAAGAGATAAAAGGATACAAGCAAAGAAGAAAACAGAGATGGCTAAGGTATCCAGATGGCTAGAATTCAGCAGGCTTTTGGGGAACACGTGCGGTTAGTCCAATCCTGATAGCTTTCTCTTTTTTTTCCTAATGACTAAAATCAAATCACACTAAAATTAAACTAAAATTTTAAGTACAACATATTGGGGAAAATTTTTTTTAGTCCTTATCGAAGGTCTTGATGACACTTCAATATCTGACAAGTCTGTTAAATACCATTTATTAATGGAAAGAGTGGATCAATCTGTAATCCGTCTTCTCACCTCTGAAATCCCTCCCAACCACAGAGTGGTTTTGAGAATGCAATAACACGCATGAAAGCGTCTAATCCAGGGCCTGGTTCATGACTCAAAAGTTGCATCTTAAATGTACGTATTGTCAGCTCTCCAAAATGCAGGTATGCTTAAATGTGGCTTTTCTCTCTGCCTCGCCCATCTGTACCCCGCTTGGGCAGCAGGCTCAAATTTACAAGCTGTCTAGAAAGCACAGACTTGTTCTGCAACAGGCAGCTCTGCTTGGGATTACAAAATCAAACTGGCTGTGAACTATGAGATAGAAAAGTTACAAAGTGGGCCCCCTGCTCACCCACATGACCTACTTTCCAGTCTTGTCAGGCCTTAATCAGCACTTCTGGCCCAGAGCTGACAGCTCCTCGTCTCTGCTTCCCAGGTTCACCTCATTCCCACCCGGCCACCCACCCCTGCGCCGAAACAAAACTGGCCGCCTGTTTCCCTCAAATTCAGATCAATCCAGGCTCTACTTCCAATTTAGCCCTCTACCACTCTCTGCTCACTTCCAATGATCTCATACTGCCTCTCTTATAACAGGGTTTTTTTTTTAACCTGCTCCTCTTTTCCCTTGGCCCCACTCCTTTAGCTAAAGGCTGAGTTTCAAGTCTTTTTAAAATGATTAATGGGCTCGACCTTCCTCCCTACTTCTAGACCAATTAATATCGGCCCTTCTCTTCTGCTCATTCGCAAACCATACAAGGGTGTTTAGGTAAAATAAAAAGATGAGGGTTCAGCTTCAATAAAAAGATAATTCAAAACTATATACACTGAGCTGTCAGCACCTCCTTGCAAGTATGCAATTCCTCACCTCTTTCCACTATCTGAGAGTGACTGGCAGAAATGCTTAATTTTCCATTAATCATGGCAATTTACCTATGCATTCATAAATGTGAACCGTGGATTTGTTCACAATATAAATGACTTTGGGACAATCACATTCTTTGGACCTCAGAAACCTCTCCTGAAGAGAAGCAGGCATCAGGCAGTATAGAGTAAAATAATGCTAGGATCACTTCTACCTGACAACCCAGCAAGCCCCTCAAGTTGAACGGGGGTGGTTGCACATCTCTCCCCCTACAACTGAAGTAGCCCAGGCCTCTTAGAGGCCAAGGCTTCTGTCTGACCACTTAGTAGTTGCACAACTAAGGCAGCATCGCAAAATTATGGATGAGGTGCTCCCTGATATCTTGCTGGCCCATAACTGGTGCGTAATGAACATACAGGATGAAACAAAAGTAGGTTTACAGTTGTGAGTACGTGAAACACCAAGTTTATTCTTATTATGTACTATTATGAATGATCTTCCATATGAACAACTGTAAACCTACTTTTGCCTCTCCCTTGTATATGCATGTCTGTCATCCCCATGATATTATGTTCACATATGATTATATGCACCTCAAAGTCAGAGCCTGCATGTTATTCCTTTCAAATCCTTCATGAAGCTCAGTACCTAAAATAATCAACCTTTAACTTGACCTGAGAGGTGGTATTGATAGAGCAAAAGAAGACACGAGTTTTGGAATCAATCATCACTGTACCACTAACTCCGAGGAAATCAAAACCCTGCTCGACAGATAAGAATTATTTTGCAACTTGATGTCAAAGTTCACTGAACACTGACAAAAGTGAATACAATTTTTAAATGGTACTGGTCAACTGGTCTACAACCTGATCTGAGTTAGGAAATGTGTCACTGGATGATCTTTGAAATCCCTTCCAATTCTAAAGCCTCCCAATTTTCTAAGAATAAGCCCAGGGTAACCCAAGAATCAGGAGCCTACTACTCACCAGTCTGCTTAAGTAATCCAGGCGGGAGGCAGCGTACTGTGGTACAGCAGCCCTTTTACAACATAAGTAGTTCCCAAGAAGTAAAGTGTGGCCAGAAAGACTCCCAGGTGGCTCAGCACCCAGTGCCTCGCACAAAATATACTGCAGTCACCTGAACTGAGAGGCAGCCCTAAACTATTAAGACAGCTTTGTTTTAGGATTTGAGAAACCTGAGTCAACCAGTCCCCTACTTGTCCCTTACTAGCCCTAGCCGGGTTAGAAGTTACCTCTCCTATCATGACAGGTTGAACTAGGATCTCTAAGGTCCCTTCCAGCTCGGACATCCAGAAAAGTCCCACGCGAGCAGATGTCATGACCAGGAGTAAATTCAAGTCCACCTGCCAATGCTCCTGAGCCCCTAAAGCGGAAAGGTGATTCCCAACAGGCGACGTGTCCCCTTAAAGGGTTTATGAGGATGGGGGCGGCGAGGAGCATGGAGGCTGTTTCAAACCACACCTGCCCTCTCCTTAGAAGTAAGTGTGCCAAGTTCCTCAAATGCAAGGGAAGGAAAACGGAGACTGACACTGCCGCGCAGGGGCGGACCTTCAGTCATCCTTGCACACTGAGGAGTTGCAGAATCGCACCCCAGCGCACTGGGGCTGCGGAGAAGGGTGCTGTGTGCCGGCCAGGACCCCGGAGGGACCGGGTCGAGGCTCACTCACCCACAGGCTGCTGAAGTAGTCCAGCCCGCGGCAAATGAGCACGCCGATGTGGGCCAGGAGCACCTGCACGCCCAAGTAGCTGCCCAGGCTGTAGAGGCCGTAGAGGAGCGGGCCGCCGGCGCCGAGCAGCAGCAGCAGCCGGCGGCGGCGCAGAGCCTGCTCGCCCAAGGCCTCGACACCGTAGTCGGCGAAGCAGAGCGGCAGCAGCAGCGCGGCCAGCACGATGGGCGTGTGCGCGCGGTGCAGGCGCTGCAGCCAGTGGCGGCCCAGGCGTGTCAGCGAGCTCTTGAAGGGGTGCAGGAAGGTGCCGCACAGCACGGCCCACAGCAGCGGCCGCAGGAAGGCCTCCAGGATGAAGTAGACGAGCACAGCGGCGCCGCAGCACAGGCACACGAACAGCACGGCCCCGGTGTTGTAGAAGGCCTGCTTGATGGGCTTGTCGAAGCGTAGCGCCAACACCGGCGTCCGAGGGGTCTCCCCGCAGCCGCCGCCGCCGCCGCCGCCGCTACCGGGCCCGACCGTGCGCGGCACCCGCGGCGCCCGGCCCGGGGACTCCCGCGGGCTGGTCACTTCGGCAGCACCACCGTCACCATCAGCCATGGTGGCTCTGCTGCCGCCCGAGGGGCCGTACTGGGAAACCGGGCGAGTGCCACCAGCGAGGCAGGGCGGATGGCGCGCGGCATTGTGGGAGTTGTAGTTTCTAACAGGCTCCCGAGCATCACAAGACTTTTAGCAAACTACAACTCCCAGAGAGTATAGGGCAAACCTCTTCGCTCCACTCTCCCATTGGTCCCTGCAGGATCTAGGTAACAGGTTTCTGAGCTCCAAATGTTACGAGAGGAAAAGGGCGGGGGGGGGGGGGGGCGCGGGAAAGAGCTCCACTCACCCATTGGTTCGTGTCAATTTTCCAGGAAGCGGAATCCCTAAAAAGGCGCTACATTCATAGATTGAAAACCCAGCTACCAGTTAGAATCCCGAGGAGGGCTACTGGTAAAAAACCGATTCCCAGATTCTGTTTTATCGATTTAATGAATAAACACAAAGTATGTGCTCTGGTATATTTGGCAGGATTTTAAATAGCGATTACCATACAGCAGGCCCTGCTCTAAGTGCCTCATTCCTATTAACTCTCTTAATCATTAGAACAGCCCCGCAAGGAGGAACAGTGAAACACGGAGAATTTCAGTAACCTTGCCAAGGACACACAGCTAGGAGATGGCAAAGGAAGGATTCGAACTACAAGTCTGGCTCCTACATCTATTCTCTTAATTACTTTGCTAATTGGTCTAACAGGGGTCCTTTGGCATGTTTTTCAAAGCTTCTCAGAGAACTGTAATGTGCAACCACAGTTGACAACCATTGGGGTAGGTGTCAGTCTGGGAGCAATCTAAATTCCTGAAAGAGCTCTAGATCAGAGTCTCAAACTGCCACTATTTCTTTCTGAGAACTGCAATCAGTTAGGCCCCCAAACCCAATTTCCCCTCTGGCACATGGGAATGATAATAATAGAAGCTCTTTTCTCAGAAGAGGAAAAGGAAGCTCTGGGGCAATGCAAGATGCGTCTGTTCTTTTGGGAAAGGGCCTAGAATCCACGCCCACTAGCTGCATCTCAAAAGCAACATTTTTATTTAAAAAGTAGAGGAAGGAAGGAAGGAAAGGAGGGAGGGAAGGAGGGAGGGAGGGCGAAGAAGGCACACTTTACCGAGTACCCAATATGTGAGTGCTTTGAAACCCTGCAAGTTAATCCCTTTTCTGTTTTCAATAAATTTTAAAGTAAAAGAAAAAGTAATTCCTTTCCATCTCATTTTTGGTTTTCAGGTCAAGTCCTTGTTTTTCTAATGGTCTGTGGACTCTGACTCTGTAAATATTTTGCTTCAGTTGTCCTACAGTTTGCTTTGCTTCTTAATTGCTTTTTCTAGGGCTGCTGAGATTATGATTATAAATTATGGTCACATTTGTTTTCAATATCCACATTTGTTTTGAGTACTGTTTACAGTGACTCAAACTCCTATTTATATAACAACAGTGCCTCAGTCTTCCTCCCGAAATATCCTCAGTAGTTTCTAGGGAGTCCCAAAGGGGTACCTCACATATACCCAGAGACATGGGTTATCCACAAACAACCGTATGTCCACTCTGCAGCCCTCACAGCTCACTGAGTTCAGTGCCTGTCATAAGATTGTCAGAGTCAGTGTGATTGTCCCCAGATCCTGGATACTTCCAAACTTCTAATCCTCAGGGTACCAAAGCAGAGCTGGGTTCCACGCAGAGAAGGAGGGAGGTAGTCCTTCTCTCTTTTGTCACCCAAGCCCTAAACCAGGTCACTTGTGTCCAATGTATTATATCTCCTCTCATGAAGAGTCCCTTCCAAGTCTGACCTTGAGTCCTCTAACCACAGAGTTTCCAAACCCATCCAAGGAGCCAGCCAGTGAAGGAACAAAAACTACACTATCATTTCTGTCCTCCTCCAACCAAAGTCTCTGCTTTCTTCCTCTAATTACACAATGAAAGATTTCTTGTTACATAAATACATCTATCAATGGATGTGAACAGAAACTGACATACGCACTTGTCTGTACACTCTTGGCTCCACATTGATGTCTCTGCCCTTTCGCTCACTCCCATCAATTCTCTACATTGCAGCCAGCATGATCTTTCTAAAATATACTCTGATCCCTTCAAAGCTTCCTCACCCTGTGGGAAGGTGTCCAAACTCTTTTACTACAGCATCCAAGGTCCAAACTGAGAGACCCGCCTCACTTCTTCCCACTCCCTTCCTCGTCCTTTATCCCCCGGTGACGTGGTGGCCCCTGAGGATATCCAGGGCATAATCCCAAGAACCTGGGAGTGTGTCACCTTTCATGGGATCAAGCACTTTGCAGATAGGATTAAGATGTGAGACGGGGAGATTATCCTCGATTATAGAGGTGGAGCCTAAATGTAATCACAAGTATCTTTATCAGAAGGTGGAAGGGAGACTAGACTACAGAAGAGGAGAAGCGACTCGATTGCAGAGGCAGACATTGGCATGATGAAGCCATGAGCCAAGGAATAACCACAGCTACCCAAGCTGGAAGGGGCAAGGGAAGGATCAGCTCCCCTGCAGTTCCCAGAGGAAAGCAGCCCCGCCAACACCTTGATTTTTACTCCATACAATTTAGTTCAGACTTCTGACCGCCAGAACTTCAAGAGAATACATTTCTGTTGTTCAATGCCACTAAGTTTATGGTAACCTTTTTACAGCAGCGGTAGTGTTAACGGGAGAGACCTGGTTCTTCTTGCTGACGCATGTAAAGGATAACATCTTGGCAAATCATCCTTCATAAGAAAACAGAAGTCCAGAGCTCAGCTAGGGAGGCTTCTCAGGGATCCCAGCACCATCAGATGTATCACTGCAATTTCTAGTTCTTAATCTAAACCCACATTCTCATGGCCCACTAGCAACAGTCCTTTCTCCCCTTTCCTTCCCGCATGGTCTTCACATTGTTCCCCCATTGCGTGGGGCAAACCACCTCCGAGCGCCCATGCGCGTGCGCTATAACGGGGGGAGCCGCCTACATGGCTGCTACATCTTGCTTCCCTGCTTCCCAAAACTGTGTGGTCAAAAGCCTCTAGCATGGCTGCCTCGCCTGGGTCCCAACCCCGGGAGAAATCCTCCCCCTCAACCCCGTCTCCGTCTCCTTCCATTCTGCAGGTGCTGCAACTGAGAGGAGCTGCAGTTCCCTTCTCGGTGAAATTTATGCAAACCCTCCTGATTAGCCTTGTTGATATGCAAAATAACCACCTTTGCACATGAGGAATGGAGCTATACTCCTGTTGTTGACATGCAAAATGACTCTCAATGGCCCTGCTCCTTGTCTTCCATCCCCCATGGTAGCCCGCGGCGGGGGATGGGGGGGTGGGGGGTAGAATACCCTGTATTTTTGTTGGATACCCCAACTTCTGGACGCCATTACAAATCCCCTTTGTAGGGGGGCCTAGCTGTACCCTGTTACAGTAGGAAACTAAGACAAACCTTGCCAAATGACAATGGTTCCCAAACACATCCTTCTGGTCTTTCTTCTGGGGTTGTTCTTCCCTTTCTTGGAGATGCTTCTTCACTTCTTTTGCCTGCTCTCCTACCCCTTCCTTAAGATGCAGCATCACTACCACCTCCTGCTTCCTGGCTGCTCCAGGCTTGATGAGGGTGTCCCTAGTCCAGATTTGCTCCACACCTGAGCTTTTCCTTACTGCAGTAGTCACCGACAGGCATTAGCACGGTGTGTATGTGTCTGACTCCCTAACTAGGCTGTGTGCCATTTCAGGGCAGAAATCAAGAGCAATTCTTCTTCCTGGAGTCCAGAGGGATTGGCCCATAAGCGTTCTCAATAAATACGTATTGAGTGAATGAATAAACAAGGGACGAAAGCTTATTGACTTCCTGGATGCAGGTGAATTTTCCATCCACTCTGCTTCAGCTGTCTCTTATAGCTTTTCCCCTGGCCCTTGTATCTGATACTGAGCCCTAAGAAATTTCCAAGTCAAACATCAACCAGGATCAGGGCTGACACCTGGGCTACCTACTGAGACAATTGCAACATAAAGGGCAGAGGGAACACCTAATATACCAAAAACAAAACCAAATATTTGTTTTGGGGGGTGAGGATTAGAGCCCATGTGCAGAATGTGGTAATGCTTACAAGAGGGGAATTTATTGATAAAAAATTGCGTATTTATTTTTACATGTTTGAACTTCAGTCACCTTCAAAGTACTCTCCGCTTGATGCAATATGCCTATTGAGACATTTTATTTCCACTGCTCAAAACAGTTTTGAACTCATCGATTTTGATGCCTTTTAGTGCATCTGCCATATTTTGTTTCACCTCTTTCACATGAGCAAAACATTTGAGGACTTTTTTCATCTGGGGAAACAAAAAATGTTAAGTGTGAGATCGGATGAATAAGGGAGAGTAGGGCACCGGGGTCCTGCCTTTTTTTCCTAGGGCAAAATCTGATGAACACTCAGCACCTTGTGGGTAGATGTGCTCATAAATGACCCATCATGAAATAGGCAGACACACTGAGTCTTCAAAAAATATTCACTGAAGCCGAACGCAACCTCTTATAACAGCACCAGCTGGTCACTGATACAGATGGGTTCCTAGAACACTCACCTAGCAGGGGAAGCCTGTATTACAAGGGGCTGCCCTCCAGAAGATAATTCTGGGGTTTTTTTGGGTCTCCCTCTCATAATTTTTCCTCAATGTTCTGAGTTTCTCAACCTAGCCCCAGTAGTATGAGCAGTTCAGCTACACATTCTGCAATCCCAACACCTCTTTGATAATTCATAAGACAGTACAACCAAACTATAACTATTCTTAATGTATAATATGATTTAGCTACCAATAAGGCTCATAACTGAAATTCTTCAAGCTAGTTAAGAGCTATTAACCAAGTAATACACTTTAAATGGAATTATTATAGGCCTCCATTTACTATTTGATAGAGGTATTAAGCTGAACATTTATTTTACAAATTGTTTCTCTCCAAGGATTTTTACCTGACTACTGCAGCATGATTTTCCTTTTCATCAGACAAGAAAGGCTATCATCTTCTTTAAGGACTATAACTTCGGGGAGACTTTACTGATGAAAGGATGTAAAATAAATAGAAAACCAAAAATGCACCAGAACAAAGCATTAAGGAATTATAAACTACCTTTAATTACATCAACTGGATGAATTTCAAACCATGTTGAGAATTTATATTTTAAAGTTTAAATCTAGTTAATATATCCTAACTGTGACATAATCCTCTAAGAATAAAAGTATTTGTGATGGCAAATGGACAGTACAATCATTTAGGTAGCATTTAGGAATATTGCTACAGTTACTTTACATAAATAGAAATCCATGTCTTTATTAGTAAGGTATCACACATCTTAGAGTAAAAATTCACATGGGGCAGGCTTATAAATATACATAAATCTCAAAACCAATCACAGTTGAACATTAGGTACATAATTATTATAAAACAAATATAACCTATCAATGTCTATTTAAAGGCATCATTTTTACAAAATAGTATTGTATAGACAATCTCAAAAAAAGTCTAGTAGTACTCCTGGAGCCAGACCGTTGCAGCATATCAGCGCAGCTGTGGGAATAAGGCATGTGGAGAAGCTGCATTTACTGTTCCAGGTGGCCAGGACATTCTCAGCGATGAAATGGTAGCCACACTAGTGACCCGGGCGAATGCCACGAGCCCCGCAACAACCCGCAGCTGGGAGAACCGCTTTCTTCCCAGAAGAATGGACCTGAACAGCTACCTGCCTAATAGCAAGTATCCAGGGTGGGGTGGGAGCGGGTGGGGACAACTGAAAACATTGGTCAAATATCAGGATATTTTCCATGAAAAGTTCCAGAGATAAAGGAGTCACTTAAATTTTCAGCCATATTTAAAATCACTTTAGCACAGCCACTATTTTCGTGAAAAGGAACTTATACTCAAGTCATCTATTAAATGTAAAAACAAAGAACTTCAACTTGAAACTAAATAACTGAACAGCTAAATAAAGAATCTAATTAAATACAAAACAAGTATGGGTTGCATCAACATGCTATGTATACTCAGTTAATATGAATCTTAGTTTCTTAACTAACAGTATAGAAAAGTCAAACTCAACAGTGATACTTTGTACATTCTTAACAATTCACATAATGTTGAATGGAGGAGGCAAGGCTTAATAAAAGATCTAGGAATCCTTTCTACAAACTAAGTTGCTAGAAACTCCAAGGTCATTTTATCTGTATACACACAATGTTTTATCTCTTGGGTTTCAAAGTAGTCAAGAGATCAGAAACAGAAACAATCTTAGCAAGGACCTTCAAAGGGTCCTAGTATGCATATACGTGTAAACACACATTTAGGCATTTATGTGTAAACACACACAGACCTCATCATGTATGTACAAATATATACATAAACACTGAGAATAAGCCAACTGTTCACTAAACATAACCAATTCTGCTTAGAGAACAAAGACATTCAATACAATTATATACAATGAAGTATACACATCTCCGCATTTGGCCTATTCCAGTGATTCTCAAACATTTTTCCATTATGCTACAGAAGGGAAATGACATTGTCACATGTGTAAAACATTCCGGGAGCTACAGCAGATTTTGATAACATTTTAAAAAAATGTCTAAAGGAAAATAAATGACTCTGAAACATGGTAATCTGCAACTCTGCAGTAAAAACTGTTCACGACCGCCACAATTTAGGTCAAATAAGCCTGCTGCTTGCCGAGCTTTGACTTCACGGCCACCACTTTCGCATCAACTCTGGAAAATCTATTAGAATGTAAGTGCCTGGGAATGCCTTTATCAAGATAACAATTAGTCACTCTATTTCATAAACAAATTACTCACTAATTTCAGTGTTTTTACAATCAACCAGTAATATGTTCCTGGCAGTGTACTTTAAAGTGATCATGACACGTAGGTGCGTCTCTATGCTCAGAAGCAAGGGAAACCTACAGTCCACAGGCCGACATAAGCTCCTGCCCATTTTTGTACGGCTTATAAGCTGAGAATGCTTTTTACATTTAAAAAATTGTTTTTAATCTAAAGAAGATATGTATGACATATAAAAATTACAGCCATGCTCATCGGTTTACATGTGGTCTATGACAGAGCTGAACAGTTGAAACAGAGACCGCGAAGCCTAAAATCTTTACCACCTGGCCCTTTTAGCAAAAGTTCGCTGACCCCTAGGTTAAAGCTAAGAATGATACCCAATCTCAGCGGTAATATCTATTGAGCACAAAATCCTATGTAGAGAGTAAACTTAATTATAGAAATAGTAGTAAAAACCACCAGGGATTTCCTTAATGACAAAAGCCAACTTAAGAGAATTAAACATGGCTCCTGCATTTTGTCTGAAATCCTGTTTACCAATTATTCTTTGAGGCTATTAGGGAGCAAGAAAAGGGCATTAGACTCCAAGTTAAAAGACCCAGATTTTAGGCAAGCCACTTTTAAAAATTAACCAAGACAGATAGATTCTAGTCTTACCCAATCTGTGCATTATTTTTTTTAACTATTAAAAGCTCTAAAATGACTGATAAAGTAATCAAAATATTTTTAAGGAAAAAAGCTGATAGAAAGTAAAATGTACCCCTTTCCCCAAATATAACTATATAAAGTCCTTCTTTTCATTGAAAATTACTAAAGGTGGAGGACGCATCTAGCTAATTTGAGTGTGGATAGCACGTTCCATTTAGTAAGTTTTAATGAATGTGTATAAAAGAATGAATGTGTAGGAAATCATATCACCTCCCTAGGCCTCAGCTGCCCCTTTGTAAAATAAGTGCATTAGATTAAGTGATCTCTGAGGTCCTTGCCAGCACTGGTAATTTATGCCAAATGACAGCCCTCAGTTTTGTCATCTGTAAAATCGGATTAATACTAGAATTTATTTCCCACGGTTGTTGAAAGGATTAAATGTGTTAATCCACACAGAGTGCTTAGAACAGCACTAAATACATACGGCTAGCATTATTATTCTACAAAAACACAGGTGGGTATCTCCCTGCAACGAGAACTATGTTAGAAAGTGGAATGCAAAGATAAAATAGAAGTTGATTATGTTATATTTGTTAAGAATGAATGAAAGTCTACAAAGTTTTAACTTCAATGTGTCTGTGAAGTTACAACTCTCTGAGAGGATGGTGAAATGCTGTCCTGCCTCCCAGTTCTGTGAATTCTCATTTCTGAACAATGATTAGTGTTAAGAATGCCACCTGTATTTTGCAGAGCAAAACAGCCTTATTACTAATGATCTTTCATTTATCTTTCAAAAGACAGAATTCAGTGTTTGCTAAAGGGATGGTTTATGGTTTGACCACAGGTGGAAGAATATAAAAATGTTAGCCAGTTTGACAATGTCTATGAAATATGTCTTCTGATTTCTACAGCAAGAAACCTGCCATAAAAATACAGTTTTATTTAGTCATTCAACAAATGTTTGCTGAATACCCACCATGTAGCAGTGTGTGTGACAACGATGAGTAACAAGAAATGATTACTCCCTGCACTAGGGAGTTAGCAGGGAGGAGGGGCCAGCAGTTAGAGTAACAGGCACAGGGAAGCCCCGTGTGCTACAGGAGCATTTGGCAGGGACCTAAACCTTCCTAGGCTAGGGGGTTGGAGGAAGAAGCATTTAAGCTGTGGCCTGAAAGATGAGCAGGAGTTGAGCAAGCACAGGAAATGGACTGAGGCTGTTTGGGCACAGACAACACGAGAGTTAAGAAAGCAAGTCTGAAGAACTGAGAGCAGTTCAGTCTTGCTGGGTCAGAACCCGTGAGAAGTGGTGACTAAAGAAGATACTGGAGGTAATCAAAGTGGCTTGTATTTCACGCTAATGGCAGTGAGAAATCATTGAAAGTTCTCAGCACAAATGTGCAAAGCTGGTAACCAGAGTAGACCCAATTCATGAAATAAGTAGCCTAACTTGAACTGTAAGCGGAGGAAAAATCCATGTATTTATTTCTTCCCTGCCAGCTACAGGGACTAGCTGAAGTCTCTCTTTAGCTTTAAATTATTTATAGCTGAACTATAATACACATTAGAGAATGAAATATAAAAATATTTGCTCTCCTATTTACAATGTGGGTGCCTGCATGCTCAATGTCTTCACTACTAAACAACCATCCTCAGCCATGGGCAGAGGGCTTAGTTTTGAGGCGACAGTAGTCAGGTGGAACCAGAGACTTGAACCAAGTATCTTCAGTTTAAATCCTACCCAGTTCCTTTGCTCCCCTGATGTCCGCTAACCTCTCCCCACCTGCAACGATTGTCCTACATCCCTCAGATGAGCTTGGTGAACTGTGTAACGTCGCAAAATCTCCATGTTTTTCATCTTTTTGTTCAGTTCCAGAAAAACTCAAAATCTCTCCTCAAATGTGGACTTACACCTCTGACATAACTTCCAGGGATGGCGATAGAAATCACAGTCTCCAGTCTGTTTCATCAAAAGACCCGCAAAGCTGGATCCAGCTTTAAAGCAATGGCGGCAAGCCAAGAGGACTCCAAAGCTCTACCGTGGAAATGCCTCCGCAGCAGAGCCACGTCCATAGACTCTTTTCTTCTAAACGGGCTGTTAACACAGATGTTAGGAACAAAGGAACCTTTGGGATCCTTTGAAAAAATAGGAAATACACTAAGTCAAAGCATTGTTATAAATGATGCTGACTGCCGATCCAGTTTACAAGTCTGAACAAGCCTGAATGGATAATCTAGGTGAATTCACTTCACGGGTCATTTCCCATTTTCCGATTTAAAAAAATCTCATCTTTAGAAAGCTTCTACTCCAAATGACACAATCTGTAAAATGTTGATTTATTATCAAAATGCTTAAAGTTTTTTATTAATATAATTTGTCTATTATATTACTATTTAATTATACTCGGTGTTTGCTGACTCTGACAACAGAATTAGCTGTAACCACAGATGAATACCTTCGTTTATAAAACACAGTGGGAGAAGAGTCCACATTCTGCTAAGAATGACCATATTTTCTACCATTAACATAATTCTACACCTTCAGGAACACTCAACTCTAACCTTTCCAACAGCAATAAAAAATGTTCTCCTGTAGCTCCTCACTAATTGAGAAGAAATTTCAAATAAATACGAACAATTTTCATATCATTGGAATCTCCCCCATTGTCCCATTAGCTGTGTAATTATCCAAAAGCACTTAAGCTTTATGGAAATTTGAAAGTTCTTCTGCCTAAAAGTTTAGTTGACGGTGTACTACGTCCATCCAATAAGGTTCTCTTTAGTAATGCTCCAAGTAAGTCTCCTGAGCTATAGTTGGAAGGGTAAAGGTTGTTTAGAGACATGATTTCTTTGTCTTTCTTGCTATGTGTTATCTGACCAAGCGGCCAAGGCTACACGGCATGTGGGTCACAAAAAGGAACCCCTCCTGAGTCTCAAATCCCATTTAGTAAGATGGCAATAGTAATTTTCATCAAGCCAACTCAGAGATGTTGTGAAATTCAAATAAGAAAACATTTGAAAGTACTTAGAAAAGTTTTGAGTTCTTTCCAAAAGTATGGGGTCATTATTAAACAATCCTCTTTGATTACAAAAGAAGCTTGTTTTTTCTTCCAAAAAGCTGAAACCATATGAGTCTTTTTTTTAAATAATAGAAGCTAAGATAATACTGCATATCCTTTAAGAATATGTATACTTTCTAATCCATTTAATCTGTTGGCTTTGCAGCTCTGATTAAGGGGTTCCCATCAATAAGTAGAAAGTTAGGGCAACAATGAGAAGCAAACAAAATGGAGAGGAGAAGGTCTGATAGGCAGCTGATGGCATAAAAATGTCTTCATACTTGTAAATACTGACAACACGCTCTGAAGCTGGTGGTGAGTCTATATCGTGTCGGGTGATAGAGCCTTAAGAAAGAAATAAAAAGGAAGGGGACAATCAAAAAAAAAAGCACAGATTTAAAATGACATATACAAACAACAGAAAAATGCAACAAAGTCTTTTTTGTTGAACATATAAGCAGTGATTATAAAGATCTGGAACCAGGTATCAAAACCGTCAGCGTTCTCTATAATTGAACCTATAGTAAAGAACATAGCAATTAGTTAAATTCATCCAAAAAGACCAGTTCTCATGAATCTGCACACCCCTTTCCAGAATAATACCGTCGGTCTCTCCATGGTGCCCAGTTTTAAGACTGCTACTTAGTACTGTATGAATGCCTTCATTTAAGGTCTCTACTGAGTTTTATCTTATTAATACCCAATGGAAAACTATATTTTGATTTCAAAGAGCTACTAATTTTTACCCTCAAATATATATTTTATATATAGATTTTAACAACTCCTGAACACACTGAACTCTGTTACAGATGGAAGGCTCTCTCACGTTGTCTCTGGTAGTCTGCCCAGGCCAGACCAGAGAGGGTGTGGTGTGCTGTGTGCTCTGTGTGTGTGTGTGTGTGTGTGCGCGCGTGCACGTGCGCTTATGTATCTTTCTGGCAGAGTGGGATGGAATGATACAGGAAGTAGGTATTTGATAAAATACCAAATAAATATTTGGACAGGAAACTTGTTTTTGACCTGATTAGAAGCAGAAAGAGAAAAAGGCTCTGTGTAAAGGCTACTTTTATAAACTGATGTTGATTAGAAGTGCCTGACCTCCTAATCCCTATGAACATCCATATGGGTATAAACCCTATGAATAATCCATATGAAACTTGGGTTAGGGAAACTAAGGCAGAAGAGTGCAGAGCAAAGTTCTATTTGCAAACAGAGCTCAGAGTGAGGCTTTTTAAGGTCCTATATGCTAGGGAAGCCATGCCGAACCTGACATGTCAATTCCCTGTCCCAGTGTCCATGCTGGCTCCTGTTAGCACAAATCAAACTCCACAGGTTGGCAAGAGATTTTTCCTCTCAACAGATCCCTCTCACCTGTCCTACCTAACCTGGTTCTTTGGTCACCTGCACAGACTCCTGGGCTTAACCAAGCAGCTTGAGTTCATGCCTGCCTTAAGGGAAATCTCATCCACACCCCGCTTCAAACTTTGACCCAAAGTTTACCACCTCTGAGGGACCTTAAGAGAATGAAAAAGGTTTGATTAATGAGAGGTTTTAGAAGGATGTTCAAGAAACAGGAAAAGCACAAGCCTGTCTATGGGGTAGGAATATGCCTGTTTTGGTTGGAGACAGTGAAAAGCACAAAAGTCCTGATCAATCTTACCAGGCAAGGTAGCAAGGCCTGAAATGGTGGCTATTATGCCGAATTTGTAAGGAGATGACCTTCTGAAGTACAGTACTTTCCAATTTGTAAGTAATTTCAAATACTTGTTTTCATTTAATGATTACAATAAGCCTAGAAAGTCAGTATCGTTACTATCCCCATTTTAGATATAAAGAAATTGGAGTTCAGGATTTAGATAAAGGCTAACTACAGCTACCAAAGGGCATACACAATGCACAAACCCAAAATTTTAGATGCCAAATCCCATCATTTTAAATGAGTTCATTCCTCCAGGCTAAGATATAATTAATGTCCCGAGGTACTGAAAGTACTCAAAGACATAACTGCAGATCCACTGTTGGTAATGTGGGAAATAAGCAAATGGGACAGATGTCACAAATCTCAAGGCATCCAAATGTTTTCCCAGATAGAAACAGGCAAAAAAAAAAAAAGGGGGGGATATGAAAACTCCAGACCCACCAGTGAAAACAACTTGAAGAAAAGAAAAAAAGGCAGATCAGTTTGGGTAGTACACAGTTGGTGAGCACACAGTAAAGAAAGGTGCAACCCCCAGGAGCCAGAAGACCTCTTACACAGTACTGCAAACAACTCACATCCATTCTTGGTCAGGCCCTAAGGCTTATCAATCTGGAGAATGCTGAAGACCCAATGTAACTTGATTTTAGCAGCCTAAAAAAGGTCTCATGATATCCTTGGGTCTTTTTTGGGGAAATGCTGAAAGAGCTTCGCCACCCAAAGTGAGGCCATCCATAGACTGACATTTGTGGGAAGCTTGTTAGAAATGCAGAGTGTCAGGCCTCACCCCAGACCTATTAAATTTCATTTCAAAAATATAGCCAGGCAGTTTCTATATTTGTTAAAATTCAAAGAGTAATGGGCTGAATTAAGGGATAATTTGGTGGATTTGTGACCATCAGGATAGTCATAACGTGAGCACTATTGATACACTTGTCAGTCTCTAGAGAAGTCTCCAGAAGCCCTTTCCTGCTCAGTATTTTGAACATGTAGAGCCATAGGAGCTAAGAGTTATCACTAACTTTGGAGTCAGACAGACCTAGGATTGAATATTAGTTCTTTCTTTAGTTAATGGTAGAGCCTTGCACAAGTTCCTTAAACTCTCTAAAATCAAGTACCTACACCTCTCAAGGATGTGGTGAGAAATAAATGGGAACATGGTGAGAATAAAAGACAGCCCGCACCCACAAAGAGCAGACAGATGATGTTTCTTTAAGCACTTAGCTCATCATACGTTACCTTGTATTGCTCTAACTCTGCAAGTGCATAGCTTGTCCACTTGTATGTCCCTATGTATGATACGTCCACTATAACCTTCTGAAGGCAAGATCATATCTCCTTTTAAAAAATATTATCCCAAGTGTTTATCACTCTCTTATCTAAGAAGTCATGAACACCAGCACAATGGTGTCTGGTGTTTAAGTCTAGTGCCAAAATATAAGCTTACCCTGAATGGCCGGACCCCAAGCAAACAGATAATACCAACTCAAATGCAGGTCGACAATTGTTTCCTCTCTGGGAACGTTCACAGGGCGCTTAAATCTGCAGGTGACTCGGTTGTTCTCAAAAACTCCTTCTTCATCTCTGGCCGGATTTCTCTGAATCTCCTTTGCCCACTGGCCTACATTATAGAAGTGCTGGATGCGGACCCTGCCATTGTCATCATGGACGCAGGCCATGACATCGTCGCCACCCTAACATGAAAAACAATGAAGAAAAATATTTTTTGCAAACTTTTCTGCTAAAAAGAAATTTCACTCAGAAACATACAGGCTCTGGCAGAAGTAACACCTGCTTGAGTGTGGTTGGTACGGTATGTGAATGTCTGGCACAAGATGGACAGCACTTTGAATATTTCACCTAAAATGTCATACGTTGTCCTTGAGTGTGATATTGTTATGTTACAGAATCACATGCTTATGATTTTGTAATAAGAGAGTTTGTAATAAAAAGGGGGCGTTATTTATGCCATACCCTGTATATTTCATTACCTCCATAATTTGAATTCCCACCCCGTAAATTACTTTCAATGTCATTAAAAAACTTTAACCAAGTGACCAAAGTTAGCATCACAATGGCTGACATCAAGTGCCTCTTGATGTGATGTTCGGAGAGGAATACATTACCAGCTATCTAATATTCTTGCCAATAACACATGAACTAAAACTAATCATGAAAGAACAATCAGACAAATCCAAATGGAAGGTCATTCTACAAAAACTAATTTGTCCCTGATAGATATGTCATAAATGTCTTAAATGACCACACGTACACAAAAAGGCTAAGAAACTCTTTCAAAGTAAACAGACTAAAGATGCATGATAACTAATAGTGTGGTGTTCCCAGAAAGAATCCTGGGTCATAAAATAAAAACTCCCATAAACAACAGCATTGGGACAATTGGGAACAGTTGCAAAATAGACAGTATATTGGATAAAACTCTGAGATCAACGTTAAACTTCCTGAATTTAATAACTGATTTAATCTCCAAAAGTTCCAGAGAAGAACAAAAATAATAACAAGTAGAAGCAGAAGAGAGATAAAACAGGTGTGGCAAAATGTTATCATTTATAAAAAAGTTCTTGAACTAGACAGTGGTCTGCACCCTGTGATTGTAATTGATGCCACTGAACTGTACACTTTATTTTTTTTTAAGATTTTATTTTTAGAGAGGGGGGAGGGAGGGAGGAAGAAAGGGAGAGAAACACTGATGTCCAAGAGGAACATTGATTGGTTGCTTCTCAACTCCCAACCGGGGACCTGGCCCACAACCCAGGCATGTGCCCTGACTGGGAATTGAACTGGCCACCCTTCCGTTTGCCAGATGATGTACAATCCACTGAGCCTCACCACTCAGGGCTTAATTGTACACTTTAAATTGTTAAAATGATGGGTTTTATATTATACACATTTTACCACACTAAAAAAGTTATTATTTGGAGACTCTAGGTGAAGTATATTATATTGTACTATCCTTGCAGCTTGTCTGTAGGTTTAAAGTTTTTTAAAAACAAGTCAAAAAATGTTAAAGTTGTTCATCAATTCTAAAAACTTACCACTCTGTGAAATATATTGATAATGGGGGAGGTCATGTGTCTACATGGGAGCAGAAGATATATAGAAATTTTCCGTACCTGCTATTTAATTTTTTTAATCCTCATATGAGGATATGTTTAGAGAGAAGGGGGAGAGAGAGAGAAACATCAATATGAGACAGAAACATTGAGCAGTTGCCTCTCGATTGCACCCCAATCAGGGATCAAACCCACAACCTAGGTATGTGCCCTGACTGGGAATCAAACCCACAACCTTTTGGTATATGGGACGATGCTCCAACCAACTATTTAGTATTGCTGTGAACCTCAAAGTTCTCTAAAAAATAAAGTCTAATATGAAAACAATGCACTATTTCAAAAAAAGTTAGAGGCTCATTGAAAGGGGTTCCATTTTGTTTTTCCAATGTATCAGGTTTTAGGAAAAAATTAATCTGTGCTTGAAATAATAGGAGAAGGAAAGAGATCTATAGTTTAAAGGCCTTTAGGCAGCAAAATGCCCAGCCTCATATTTGAATGCTCCTCACTCAACCTCCCTGCTCTGAGCCCCATAAGCTTCACAGCTGCACCATGACTGCCAACGCATTCCAGGACAGGAAGTGGTCAACTGCAATCCAAGCCACCTTCTGCGTATGGCACACACCTGCTGTTTCTCCCAACAACACTACACTACAGCAGGAGACTAGTGATGTAGATTCATAGCTACACCATCTCAGCAGTTGGACCCATTGTCGAACTTCCTGGGCTGCGAACTGATGGAGGCTCATTCTCCTGGTGACCTGTCCAAGAACAAAGCCCCTGGAGCTCTGACTGCTTGGACTGCTCTCTCGGTTTCTTCCTACCAACCACCCACAACCCATGTCCAATCCATTAGCAAAGCCTATCTGCATGACCTTCAAAACATACCCAGAATCTAAGCACGACTCGCCACCACCACTGCCGTAACCCTGAGTTGAGCTGCCCCCTTCTCACTGCCTGAGTCTCAAACAGGCCAGCGAAAAAGAAGAGGAAGAAGGGTCCTCTGGACAGAGCAGGAGCATGTGCAAAGGTGGAGAGCATAAGAAAGTCTGGCTGTTTGGGAGGCACCCTGGCACACTGAAGTGGCAAATGAGGGGGTACAGAGAAAAGAGGGGAGGATGCAGCAGAGGCACAAAGAGAAGCCGAGGCAGGAGATGGACAGCTGCCTGGGTGCCTGATGCCCTCGCTGTTCCTGGTCACCGTCCTTTCTGAGGTCCAGATGTGTTCTTGCCTGGGGGTACTGTAGAAGACTGAACTGTCAGATGCAATTCTGTAGTCCCCTAGAGTGGTATTATATACCCACACCTTTGCAGGGCCTCGTGGTGGGGGAGTGTATGGCCTTGCCCCTTCATTTTGGGCTTGGCTGCATGCCGTACTTTGGGCACTGGCTTGTTGGCAGCTACGGCATGAGCAGAGGTTTGAAATAAGCTTGGATGGCCCTTGCACTCCTGCCTCTGCCATGAAAACCATGTGCCTTGGTACCTGTTGGTTCCAGAATGCTTAGGAAAAAACCTGAATCCAACCCATGGACTGGAGCCAAGCCCAGCTGATTCTCAGCCAATCCACACACATGTGAGCAAGAAATAAGTGCTTACTATTACAAGCCATGTATTTGGGAGGCTTTTCTTGAGGCATTTCTGTAGAAATGGCAAATAAATACAGGTACCATGAAACATCTTGTCTTCTCATAACTCACCCTTCCTTCTCTGTTTAAGCTAGCTTGAATTTTTTTTTAACTTGCAACCAGAGTGCTATACTAATCTAACCATTATCCTGCTTTGATGATTTCTTTGCTTTGTGATGCTTTGCGAAAGACAATCAAATGCCAGAAATTATCTTCTCTCATTCAAAAGTGGCATGGGAGCGTAGAGAGACATAGCCATGCCCATTCTCTCAACTCTAAAGACGCACAGCAAACTAAAGAGGGGAGTAAGCTTCTGTCATGGTGTGTGTCTTACCATTTTCCTGTCTGAAGAGAATCCAACCGCTACCCAGCCATCTGTGTCTGCACTCAGCTCAAATTCCACATCAGCCCCGATCATCCGGTAGCTAAGGAAGTAGTCACAGGTCTCTGCATTACATCCTGGTTTGCCATATCTACAGGAAACATCCAAACAGGCATTACTCAAGAGGGTAAAGGGGGTCAAATACACGGTGATGGGAGGAGACACACAATGAAATACACAGATGATATATTATAGAAGTGTACACCTAAAACTTATATAATGTTATCAATTAATGTTACCCCAATAAATTTAATAAATAAAACACACTTTGCTCCATCTTCTTATTCAAAATATATTAAGAGGGCATCTCAGTATCAGGCAGGATGCTAAGCAACATTATTGAATAAATTAGATGTTTGCTCCCTGGGGTCTCAAAAACCACTTCATTTAGTTAGGAGAGGCCTCGGAGAGGATCTGCTCCACTTTACCTACAGAGAACAGGGGCCCAGAGATGGGAAGGGGCCTTCCTGAGGTTGCACACTGAGTCAGTGGTTGCAACGGGACTTGAACCTGTGCCTCCAAACTCCCAGCCAGTGTTCTACTGTACTATAGTAGTGTCTCTCAAGTATTAGTTATTACTGAATTATTTCTGAATCCATGTTAGAGGGAAAAAATTCCCTGAATTAATAATTTAGTTTTGTTAATTAAATGTATACCAATTTTTTTTTACTTTAAAATTTGCAATTAAACTAATACCAAGTTGCAAATTAAATATACATGTAAATTAAACTACAAAACCAGGAATATTTAAATTTGCAGCATTCATATGATGGATAATGTGGTTTTACTTTAAGTAAAATTCTCCTTACACGCATACGGTATGTCTGACTATGCTGTGGGGGGGTCTTTTGATTAAGCACGCTCTTACTATTCAACATGACTCACTCTCCTCTACTTTCATCTGAATACTGCCAAACCCTTGCACGTACAATGCACCAAACAAATACCCCATCTGGTATTCACTGAGCATGGATGCATCACCTGTTTATAAAATTTGCCTATTTGCTTGATTGGTACTAACACAATTACAAAATCAGACACTAAAGCATGCAGCAGTATAAGGTTATGAATACATTAGTCAGATTATGAATATATTAATATTTTAAAGTATCATTAAAATGAAGATACAAATTTATTTTATTTTGAATTTACCTGAACAATAATTTTTTAATTACAACTTTTTTGACTAGAGTTGACATTCAATATTATATTAGTTTCAAGTGCTCAGCATAACGGTAAGACATTTATATAACTTCCCAAGCGATCTCCCTGCTAAGTCTAGTACCCACCTGACACCACGCATAGTTATTATTGAACAAAATCAGTGACTCTATTCCCTAGGCTGTACTTTACATCCCCGTGACTACTTTGTAACTGCCAATTAGTACTTCTTAATTCCTTCACCTTCTTCACCCACACCCCCTGCCAGTAGGCAGTCATCCGTCTTTTCTTTGTATGAGTCCACTTCTGCTTTGAAAACACAAATTTACATTTTCTTACAGAGAACTTGTAGATCCTATAAGAGCTGACAAGCCCTCGTTTGAGGAACACTGCTTTACACCCTTTTCAGCAGGACAGAACACTGTAGCAATGGGACGGACAACCTGAACTCAGATGGATTATCTGAAGGAACAAGACACAAAACTGCCAAGTGTGTAAGGAGGGAGGCAGGGACTGGGCCACTATGCTGGCAGGTACTCTGGGCAGCCAGCGTGAGACAAAAGTTCTGGAAAACATGAACTGGGGTAAAAATGGCTAAGAAAAGCTAATGGAGGAATGAATGGGCCAGAAAACAGGTCACTCTGAAGCCACCAGGGTACTACAATTCCTTCACTTTTCAAAAATGCCCTCCAATCACCAGAATTAAACATTACTGGCCATCTTCCTTAATACTAGTGTTATTGGATTTTTTAAATTCCTTAGAAATGTCCTAGTAATCCAAAGAAAGCACAAAACCCCTATAATTCAGTTTTTCCCCTTAGATCTTGAGCACAGAACCAAAAAAAAAATCAGAGCTTCAGAGCAGTGGTCAACAAAATCTTTACTGAAGGACAATTTGTTAAAGGAAATAAAGAATTCAAAGAGAAGTCTTTTCCAACAGAACAGAGCTGATTATGGGGAGGCCCACTGTCTAAACTACTGTCCTCTAGCACCAGCCCATCATGTCTTGACAGAATACTGCTAATAATCACAAAAGGACTCACTACACCTGAGATAACAAGCTGGCTGCAATAATCAACTCTTAATGACTAGTTAGCATCATACAGAGATCATCAAGTCATGACTGTTGGAAAAGGAATTGGGTATCAGACATGTCTACCATTGCTTGTCCCATTCACACCCCCTCGAAATGAGCACAGACCTATTCTGTGTCACGTGATTCTTCATACAGCCAATTGGTTTGGAGTAGACACCTGTGCCAATGGCCGTGTAGTCAAAAATGAAGACTGTGCCAGTGTCAAGCTGCATGTTAGAGCTTAGGGCCTTTAAGACTGAAAACTGGGGTTGCCGTCAGAAACAGGCCACACCCCTGTCGAAGTTAGGAAGGGGTACAGGCCGCTGGTTGGAACGGACAGCTTGCCCTCTCGATGCTACCCTGAGAAGTGAATCACCGTCTTAGTTTTAAAGTCTTCCAATGCACAGATCTACCAACCTAAAGCATCCCTTCGTTTTTCCACAGTCATCCACTTTGATTTTGGCGAACGGGTCCACAGGAGGAGCGGTAGGGAAAGGGTACCCTGCGAGAGTAAAGGGGAACAGTGAGAACACAGAACGCTTGCAAAGTCCAATAACAACATTTCCAATGAGAATTTTTAAATATGCGTCTACTGTTTTCTATCACACACATCTAGATACATTCAGAGGCCTCGGAAAAGGGCTCTATGTTAGCCTAATCACCCTCTTCATGAGTAGGGAGTGCAGGATACACATGTTTAAACTGGGCCTTACAAGTTAACTGAGAATAACCGGTGTTCTCCTCACTTTTCAGGCATAATTTCATATAAACACTGGCACCCCGCCCCCCATACCCTGGGAGTTTAAAAATTATTGTTGTGATACAACACACATGCTCTAAGAAAAATATTAACAATGATCCATTTATATATTCAGTAGTAGAGGTTTTCCATTTATGTATGCAATAACAGAATTTTTCCATTACTGTGAACTTCCTTTTTTTGAGTTTTGTGAGAGCTTTAATAACACAAATGTTTATAGCTATAAGTTACACATGTATTGTAAACTGTATATAATGGTACAAAGTATTAACTAGATAGATGAGGAATGCATAATCACTTTGGTTCAGTGAATTCCAATAATTCAATAACTGGTTCACTTAAAAATTCATCTTCCTGGCTTAGTCTTCAATTTTCATTTTTTAGAACAGTAAATATTTGTACTGCAATCAGAGTAACGTGTTACACTTTTCAACATGCAAGTTTGTGCAGTTTTGCTCTTGACTGTATTTATAAATATTTTAAGCCGGTTTTCATCAAACAGAAGAAAAATGAAGTCTGCTTTTTCATTTCTAAATTGTAAACAGGTGTAGAGCTTTTTAAACGTTAATCTTAAAAATGTTAGCTGTTAATTGTCAGATTCTCCTTTCCAATCACATAATCTGCTCATCACAAGTCCGGGTAGGAGCATAAACATTTATCCCCAAAGTTAGGGCCACCAATACATGCTGCATTATTTCAGATTATGAGAAGTTCTACTGTGACCATGAAATAAATTGTCCAAAATTTCACTGGTAATTTAAAGAGAAAGGGCAGAATTAAATTTATCTTCGATGTTGAAAAAAATATTATAAATGTGCCCAAGTTGAATCACACTGCTGATATAACTGCTACTGAATTTCAAAAGAGGGAGATGTATTGTGTATAAAAGGTTGCTCTTATTTTAAGAATAATTTTACTTTTCCCTTCCATGATACCAATTATAATACAAAGTGTACCTTACAGCAGTTTAGTTCTCTTAACTTTTCCAGCCTTTCCAATTTTCTTCAGGCTTTTCAAAATCATTGGGCCATCTAATTTTCATTCTTCCCAAAGAAATTTAAATATGAACACTTGAAATAAATAGGTTGTAAGAAGGCAAATCAAGTGTTATTAGCTTTAAGAATAAGATAGAAACAAGCTATAATAAACAGATGTCCAAAATTATTTAGTATGTATCATTTTTTTCTTAAAGAGAGCCACCTATATTCTTTTTCAAAAAAAAAGTCAGGAATTAAACTTTTGTTTAACCTGTATGTTATTTTCCACTATAGCACATAAATTTTACAAAACTTGATGTGTGAGAAAAAAAGTGTTAGTTTCTACAAACTGGCAAACCTGGTTGTCAAATTGTTTTTATTCAAGTCAACCTGATGCACTATATTCATTGAATAAATTGCTAGTTTTAAAAGGAACAATAATTCTCTAAATACTCAACAGTAATGTCTTTATCATCAATAGTAATTATTTATATTCAATATATGACATATAATGGTATCCTTCAGAGTCATACTGTGTGTTCTGAAATCCAGTAAGTCTACTTGAAATAACTGGTAATCCTGATCCTTTCCAACAGTTTGTCCATAAAGCTTCACGTTTTAGAAACAAACAAACAAACAATGTATGTCTTGGAAGGAAGTTGTTCAGAGTTCTGGAACTTCAGGAGTTTAACAAAACTGAAGACGTGGCTACAAAAAAAATGAGCTTCTACTTTTCATTAAGCTACATATAACATTTTTATATCTCACTAAATTCTTGAAACACATTGTTTCTAACATCTGTGTATGTTTCTTGTAACATTTTTAGCATCATAATGCATTAAACCATACACTGAAGGGTAAGCCTACATTACGCTTCCAGTTGTGACAAAAATAATTTTCTCCTGGACTCTTTCCTCCATGAACAAAGGAGCCGAGCGTGATTCATCCAGTATCTTCTGCCCAGCATCGTGCCTGACACTGCCTGCTGAATAAATGACTGTCAAATGTTTTTTAAGTAAGATTTTGTTTATTTTATTCCATTAATTATCCTTTAAGAAAAAAGCCACTGAGCTGCACATTCCTGGCACACAATTATGCATTGTGGACAGTTCATTTCTACAACCCCAGACCTTGTTCACATGCTAAAATACAGCCCAGACATTTCACCACCTTTTAGTAATTGGGCCAAATGCATTACTTTTTCTAGTTTTATGCTTATTTTATGCTAAGTTCTATATCCACTTTAGTGCTATAAACTGAATCTTGCCTTGGATGAGTTTTTTGTTTCTCTCTTAACGTATATTGAGCAACTGCTAAATGCTACAAATTATGTTAAGCATCTTCACACGATGTTCTTCCTCGTATTTCTCACTACAATGCGGAGGCTTCCCCCCCCCCCAGAACATTTATCCAGGAATGCAATGACTACTTATGCTTTTAAGAGTCTACAGGTGATTGACAAAGTTAATGCCTTGTCATGTGGCTTTAGACTCAGGTTCCTCATCTTCTTCCATTTTTTCAAACATATTATCCATCCTACTTTGTAGCATCTAGACTAATACATTGGCATACAGCAGATTTCCAGCTCTACAAATGCCATCATTATTACTATTGGATGATTACTATTAAATTTTGTAAACTAGACTGAGAACTAATAACTACTGGACAAGACTGCCTCTATAAAAAGTACAGGTTTCTAGGTCCCAAATAAGAGCAAGTTCTAGAACAAAACTCACTTGTACTGAACTAGTTTTATAGTGTTGGCAAATAGCTTATTTTTTAGGGGCTCTTCAAGCACTAATTTCCCATTGTTGTAACTGGGAGCAGGTCCAGCTGCCTGCTGCTATGAAAGCCAACACTCAAGAGGCAGGTGCGGATGTAAAGGAAAGTGGTTTATTTTCAGGTGCTAGTCACCTGGAAAATGGGAAACTCATGTCTCAAAGACCATCTCGTGGGAAGGTGGGGGCTCACTTCTCAAAGCCCATCTCCACATTTCAGCAGAGGCTGAGGGTTTTATAATGAGGAAGAGGGGAACAGAACGAAGAGATCAAGGGAGGGGTTTGAAAAGTGCTCTAGGCACAGACTAGCACAGTCCATTGCGATGAGGCAAGTGAAGGTCCAGTGTGCATCATTCCGGTTTAGTCATCCTGGCTTCACGTCACCCTGGCTTCACGTCATCCCAGCTTCACGTCATCCTGGCTCCATGGCTGAAGGTCAGCAGCTCTCCTGGAACTGGGATGCTTGAAGGTTGGAGTCTGTATCTTTTGAAACTGGTTCCTAGGATTCTTAAACAAACATGCTGTTCATCTACAAGCTACATATTTGTCAGAGTCAGCCTTTATAGAAACAATGTCAAAGAAAGTTGGGGTGGTTGCTCCTGAGCTGTTTCCTTTATAACAAATCTGTACTATGAGACATTCTAGTGTGTAGCCTCTGAATTGGTAGCCAGCTGGTCTGAAATGAGGGCAGTCTTTCTGCGGAGCATGCCCTTGAACTTGTGGTAACTCTGGGTCATTAATACCAGAAATAAACTTCAGTATATCACTTGGGGTTGGCATCAGAATATAAGGAGATTTTATAATATTACAATTTTTCCCTGGAATTAAATGATCTATTTGGCATACAATAAGTCTGGACTGTGTGCCAATATTTAAGATCCTGCCAAGATGCAAAAAGCCTTTTATGTTCCCAATACCACTCTCCTAAAGCTCCTGCACTATTACCTTGTAAGATATAATTACTGAAAGTGCCTTCAGCAGAACCTGGATCTGAAGTTCAGGTTCCAGGCACAATTCCTCACTGTGCCAACAGTGCGGCCTTGCCTTGCTGTCCAAGCTGCAGACACTGGCCCGTCCTTGGCCATGCCCAAGGTCTGGGAGCACCTGAGCAGAGCAGGCTAATGTCCACTGTCCACATGTTTCTTTTTATCAGTGCGTGTGCATATAATATGCAGGGTCCAGCAGAAATAACGGCCCTTTTTTATTACAAAATCATAAGCATGTCATTCTGTAACATAACAATATCACAGTCAAGCACACCATATGACATTTTAGGTGAAATGTTCGAATTAAAACTATAAATTATTATGCCCATATTGTAATCCTACAAACCATATTCAAGCAGGTGTTATTTCTGCTGGACCCTCTATATATCTTGAAAATATGTAATTTGTGAATGTTTTTAATCTGCACAAATGACACTGTGCATTGAATCGCATCCTGTTTATTATTTCCTTTGGAAACCTATCCATATATGTTAGTGTGAGACCTGTTATTACTGCTGACAGGATAGTATTCTGTGATGTGCATATAACATTTTCTGAAATATTCTCCCAGGTTTGGACACTTAAAGTGCTTCCAGTCTTTGATTTTTCTAATAATGAAGCAATAGACATCCTTACACATTCCCTATAGACATATGCAACAGATGTTTCTTTTTCTTTTTCTTTTTCTTTTTTTAAATAAAACCTAGGGAGCAATAGCTGAAAAATCTTTAGTTCCACAAAGCTCAATGATATGGGTTTTTGGTCTTTTTATTACTTGGTCTTGGGTCTTTTTCATAAGAGTTGGTGTGTATTCCATGGAGAAATTCACTGTTGATTTCAGAAGTTGCAATTTTTTCCTCCAGTCTGCCACTGATCTTACTTTTTTCTGTGATGTTCTTTCTTGGACCAAAATCTTTAATGTAATCAAAGAAATAATTTTTCATCTTTTGGTTTGTGCATTTTTGGAGTATTGTCTAAGAGATCAATGTCCACTCTAAGGA